CCCTTATGGTTGCGGTTGTGAATAGAGAAAAAATTTTTAAAAATAAAGAACCAAGAATTCCAAATTACAAAAAACCAAATGTACACGTATACGAGTAAAGAGAAAAAATATATACAGAAGTGAAGAATTTTTGCGACCGACTCTGTGTATATGTATATTGTAACAAAATCGTTCGCAGCAGAAAAAGGTTATTAATTAAACATTAACGGGGAACAATTGAGAAATCAGAGAAAAACTCACGTTTAGCGTGGACTGTGCCACTAGCGAAGAACAGGAGCATCAGCGCGCAAACGGAAACGACGACCGTCACCGGGATACCGGAAGTCCTGTTCGCCCTCATCCTCTCTTCCACGGAGTTCACACTGTTTTGGTCCTTGTCTCTAGACTTGGTGGTCCAGTTGCTGTTGATGACAGGAATGATGAGAACCGAAGGAGGGTCCCGATGCTTCCTTGGCGAGCAGGTGGTTGTGAATGAACGATAGGAACGTCGCGCGTTCCTTCTTTTACGGGAGCGGAAACCAGAGTGGCGCAGTCGGTATCCACCGTGGAGCATGCCGACTACGCAGAAACAATGGCGGGGTGGTGTTCATGCACGTATGTACATATATGTATATTAACGCCGACCATAGACACGGGGGCTGTTAAACAATAAGGGGCCAGGTACCAGATGTACCCCCATAAATCGTGGGACCAGTCTTAAAAGATGTTTTTTTTTATGACAAAAGGTGTGTAGGCCATACCTTTTTGAAGTTTGGTACATGTATATACATAGGAAAAATGTCCCAATTACTGCCAGTGTCCCTAATACTGCCACTTTATTTATTTTACTTAAGGTATAATAAGGTACCATTTTTAATAATTCTGTATTTATAATTTTTAATAATCGAGCGATATAGTTTTTCTTGGGAATTTTCATAAAATTATAGTGTCGATTTATATGGAAAACCAAGGTTGATGTTATCTGAACGAAGGAGAAGTACATATCGTTCAAGTGATAAACCGTGACATGTTAAGCGTAATTTTTTATAATTCGAACCGTTATCAACGTTAAAACCACTAAACCTATTTTATCATCGGCATGGAAAGAATGTAAAGTGCACAGCTGATCGGTAATCCCGATATCCGTATTCGTCGTCTGAAAAGAAAGAAGATCGAGAAAAATTTGGAAAACGAGAAATAATAATTTATAAAACAATAGACAATTTCAATTATTGTTTACCGTACCTGCGCAATACCGCAAATTCTGCTCTGTTCGTATTGTTCTCTAGTATTTGTTGAACAATGAACGACACTTATTCGTCTCCCTTTCTCTCTCTCTCTCTCCCTTTGTCTGTAAGAATGAACATAATTGAATTTTTCCTTTATTTACTAGATTTGAAAAATCTGTTTTTCTTTTTATATCGTATAATCAATACGCGTAATTACCGAGCACCGAATTCAATCTTAAATTATTTCAATGGTACCTGCTTATTGTAACATTAAAATGTAAACGATGACAGCATTGTTCGTTGTATTCAGACAGAAGAATTATAAATGTATTATACACTGAATACAAAATCATTAATATTATTATTATAAATATTCCTATAAATATTCAGTGCATTTACATTCTTTATTAGACTCATATATTTTATAGTGTAGTCTTTCTTTCATTTAAACTCGAATGAATTTTGTCACACATTTCATCATCTTTGACACGTTTCTTTCTCTCTCTATTTCTCTAACTAATAACATTTCCACAATGAATACAAAATTAAAATAAATTTGCACGTACGTATATAGAGATTAGCAAACAGTTTGAAACATGTTAATTAATTGTGATACATCTAACCCAACTATAGAGCAATAAATCCTGGAAACTTTAAATAACCGTGTGATAGGACCCAGTTAAGTTGCATTAACTAACTATGTTTATAGTCCTGCTATGATATTTTCACCGTGAAGTCTGTGGAAAATTCATCAACGAAAACACAACTAGAAAGTTTCATAGCTGCGAACTTGTCTGTTAAGCGAGGCCTTGGTTAAATCGAAACTCTACTTCATGTATCCACAGGAAATAATCCTCATTGTTTCCATTATAATCTATGTAGGGCGAAAAATCGCGACTTCGGGGCGGAATTCAATAATCTTGTCATTAATGTAACACACCGAATGTATTTTTGCTTCTTATTAGTTGATTTATTGTTAACGGGTTTCCGATTATAAAGAGTCCAATTATTACTTTATCTTAAAAGGAACTCCCGACTACTCGCGAAATATTTAAGTCGCAAAACAATCTTCCAACTATATTTTTCTCGCCGCGTTACTGTCTCAACACGATACAATTTTCGATACACTCATAAGCAAACTCGGCTTCCGCTAGGGGAAAAAGCAATGTAGGGGTAAGGGCCTCCTACCGTTTGATACATTTATATCAAATACTGAAATAAATATTAAATCGAATGTTAATTTGGCAAAAAATTTCAGTAACTCCAAGACCAAGTGGTAGGAGATCTTTCCCTTCCTTACATCACTTTTTCCCCTAGCGGAAACCGAATTTGCTCGTGGGGGTAGATACATAGGATTAGGTAGATACACCACGGAACCACCTCATAATACAAATGCAGAACTTTTCTCGGCACTGACGAAGGATCGGTCATATTTTCTGATGCAAAGTTAATTTGGATGTAAATCAACGACAAATTCAACGGATCTTCCCATTTTGTTACGACTGTATTGCGCACAACACGTTTCTCGTGGAAACTAGATGAAATCGTTAATCCATGAATGATACGACTTTAATAACATACACGTGACGTAAGTACACTGGCTCTTAATTTGAAAACTCTAAACCCTATCGATATTAAAGATTAACGAAACACTAAGTATTATTTCAATATTTCAGAAACAATTATGTATTTCAGAATTTTATTAAGAACCTTCTCTTCAATACAATCTTCTGCTTTAAACATGAATATCGTGTTTCTTCCATTGTCCGTCCTGTCATTATCGTCGGTGATGAGAATCATTAGCAGAAACGAATCTGTTTTCGATTATTTTCATATCTGACAGCGCATGCCGCCTAATTGCGTACCTACGTCATAGGATCATTTTAATATTATAGTAAAAAATCAAGTTATAGTAACTGGTAGAAAATTATAGTAACAATGAATTTTTAGAAGTAAATGTGATACTCGATTGGAATGAATTGAATTCTAAAAAGATTCGAAAGATTGTAATTTTCTTCGAAAGTTCCACTTAGATTAAAAAAGCGAAATTGAATATTATTTGAAAGAAAAAATAATCGAAGTCTCGTCAAACGGTTCTAACATATAAAAATAATCCTATAATAAAAACTGAAGTGGTACTGTTCCCGAAGACGAGTTTTTATATCCATAACTTTTTTAAATGCAAAATTTCCAGCAATGTGCGGTGTAATAAATGTTGTAGGTATGGTATGGTAGCGACAAACGTAATCGCGCGTGTGTGTGTACATTGCCCATACAAATCGAAGCATTATTATGAGGACACATGGTATATTCTCACGGTATATTGGACGTTTCATCGGTTTATCAGCACCGCTCGCTTGATGAAAAAGTAATTTCTGGTAATTCAATTCCGCCTACGAGACGCACCAATAAAAAGGCGTATTTTAAACTTATTAACCATACGTTAAACTCTGCTCGACGTTACACTTAATTTGCCGAATCGAGCAATCCCGTGAACTGTTAATAGTCACGAGCAATTAGTCTGCACGTGCCTTTCAAACCCTATCTTTCTAATTGGAATCAAACCAACTGAATCTCGATAAAAACATATTTCTTGCCAATCAGTCAATTTCTTGTAATCCAAGTGTAAGAATTTAAACTTTGGGTAACAAAATCATTCCTAATGAATAATTTGATTAAAGCTTTCCGTTTATGTACAATAACATTCATTTTTATTTGCACGGAATTTTTATAGTATAATGAAATTGCTGTCATAAATGATGTTAATGTTGAATTTCAAACATAACTTCATGCGTTTTGTTTTATCATATTAATAGGATGTTAATAATTTTCTTAAAGAGTTTATAAATATGGACGTTCTTCAATTCCTATAAGTTACCGAATTAATAAAATTTATGTAGTACAAAATATATTCATACCTTTCTATATGTTACAATAACATTACAAATTGCTGAGATGGTGAAACAAAGTGTTTACAGTTTATCTTGGGAAGGCGATAAAAATGTAAATTTGAAAAAAAATAATAGACTACACAATACACACATGGCCGAAAATCCCCGTGCGTTTTGACGTAAATGGCTCGTACCTGTGTATCAAAAAGTACACGAACTGGAACACAGGTATATTAATTACACGTGTATTTTTAATACGCGTTCAAAACCATAATCTCTATTCTAATAGCTAATGTGAATTGCTACCTTCAGAACAGTAGCGGTGAAAAATGAATGGTGGCGCTATCCGTGGAAAACACCTTAAACTGGTAGCCAATTAATAAACAGTTGTTTGAACAAGATGGCACTATCGTCGTCGAGCTGATGTGTGTATGCACCGACTAGGTATAGGCACAGACGAGATATATGAGAACGGTGAATTTGTGAACTACGTTAAATAATTAATTAGTCGGTGGTGTATGTACTTACTGATCGGTAAAGATTATCTATCAGTTGAAGCGTATTCCACGGATGGCACTACCTGTCAAATGCACTGGTCCAGTGTGAATGATTCTTGCCATGATTCTTACCGCTGTTCGTATAGTCATATCGAGAGGACAAGGTAAATATGACATGTTTTGCGATGTACGGACACTTTTTTCTTCGCCAAAATTATAGATTTAAAGCTGAAGGGACATAAATTAAACCCCTATATTTGTTGAGAAACAATAAGCATAAGAATATTGTTAAAATAGCAATTGTTTGCAACATTTGTCACCGGGTCTTGTTCAATGTATTTAGAACTCACTAAATTCCCCGTTTGAGTATTGTGCAGGAATGTGAAAGAAGTCGGAACTAGCTGGTCGCGTGGTTCTAGGTCGATCTGAATAATCAGGGACTTATTACCTGAGTGAAACCTGAAAGAATGTGGCTCGAAGAATGCGATAGTTTCGCAGAATTATGTCGGGGATATCTGCCGTATTACTTACTGATCATTTTGCCGATATTTATTATTATCTCTCCAGTTAACCCAGTTTCGGCATCGCATGAATTCCCCGTGTATCGGATGCACCAGTATGACTTGCATGGTGAACCTCACGGTAGCGTAATCTCCACACTTCCTTTGTCTAATTAAATATTCCATCCGCGGTAAAATTGAATTTCTCATTCAGGTTGTCGTAACGCTCCAATCTCCTTGGAAGCGAGGTCCCTCACTGGATGGAGCACTTCTAGACACTGTGTAGTTACAAAAGCTTTGGATCTTACGCCAAGTATGTTCCACTCCATCAAAAACAAAGCTGGTGCCTTAATAGTTGTCCTACCAGAGAAAATCAATGATCTAACGCTTGAGGAGCAGCAGGTTATTAATCTGACATATTTTAAAGTCTACTATAAGCAAAGATGAACAACTATGATTACTAATTCTAGCATATTATGAGCTTGGAAGAGTCCATGATGTTTGGGCCAGAAACAACAATACCAGTGTATTTTGCTTCATGGCATCCTGATTTTCAAATGATTTTGGACGACCTTTCCAATGGATTTATTACCGATGAAAAAGCTGGTTCAGCTGCTGAAGCAATGTTGAACTCTGTATCTGCCAGTGGCTATCAAGTGGTTGTGCCAACTGGTCAGGCACTTGTTAAGACAGACGTTAAAGTGGCAACTCTGCATGGAAAATTAGCTGGTACCAAAGTAGAAGACAAGTTGCCAACAATAGCTTTGGTAACCCATTATGATAGTACTGGAGTTGCACCTGTAAGTACAGTGTTAATGGAAGATAATATGGAGCAGAGATAAAAAAAAATAAAGAATATATTATTAATAAATAGGAGCTATCTTTTGGAGCAGACAGTAATGCGTCAGGAGTGGCTATGTTATTAGAGATAGCAAGATTATTCTCTACATTGTATTCTGCCAGTAGATCAAGACCACAATATAATCTTGTCTTTATTATAACTGGTACAGGGAAGATTAATTACCAAGGTAGTAAAAAGTGGTTGGAGGATCAGCTAGATGGTCTTGAGGGTTCTGTAATACAAGTAATATTTTTTTAATGATTATTTTATACATTATACTGTTATATGCAGAAATAGTCTAATCTGTTATATATATATCTCTGTATTAGGATGCAGCATATGTTATTTGCTTGGACACAGTATCTACCGGCAATAACCTATATGTACATGTTTCTAAACCGCCAAAAGAAAATTCCACTGGTGGACTTTTTTATAAGGAACTTAAAACTGTGTCCGAATCATTAAACACAACCACTATTGAAGGTGTCCACAAAAAAATAAATCTAGCCGATAAAACACTAGCTTGGGAACATGAAAGATATAGTATGAGGAGATTACCAGCTGCAACTTTATCCACGCTAAAAAATCATGAAGATCCTATCAGAACAACAATTTTAGACTTAATAAAACCGGGACATATAGATAGACTACATAAGCATACGCAAGTAGTAGCTGAAGCATTGGCAAGACATATATATAACTTGAGTTCTAGTCAGATTTTCACAGATCCATTGGTATGTCTATCTTTCTTTAAACAAAGAGGAGGAAAAGGTTTTCAATATTCTGTTTCTAAATATTTAATGTTCTTGATTTTTACAGGATATTTCAAAGGAATCTTTATCTTTATGGTTCGATTATTTAGCATCACAACCAAGGGCTGCTCCTTTATTGGCAGACAAAAATAACATGTTAGTCAATACATTGAAGGAATCAATGGCTAGATATCTTGGGGATGTAAAAGTTACCTTGCACACACCTGATAAACAGGATCCGGAATTTGTGTTCTATGATATCACTAAAGCTATACTGAATGTATACAGGTAAATTATTTTACTACGTTTACTTTTAGCAATACAAAAAAATCTATGAACAGAGTAATTTACCAATTAATTTCCTACATTTCAGTGTAAAGCCAGCTGTTTTTGATCTCTTTCTCACGATCGCCATAATTGTATATTTGGGAATAGTTTACACAATCGTACATAATTTCCCATACGCATATTCCCTAGCAATTCGTCTCTCAGTCAAGAACAAGACATTATAAAAATAGTTTTAAAATTCTTAAACTTCTTTATTGTAAAGGAAAACTCGCTACAGATTTTTCAAAGAATATTAATATATAACAAGCATTATAGGTGTAAATTGAAGATCAAACAAAGTTACATGTACATTGATTCTGCTCATATTAACCTTGAATTAAAGACTATATACCATTCTATGTATTATCTGAATCTTCGGTCATAGGTATTTATGAATATTAGATAGTTATAAATTGAAGGCAAATTTTTCATCCTCCTACTTCTTCCAATAATAATTATGGTGAATGATAACAAGAACATTTGGAATAACTTGTAAAAATACGTATTATCTACAATCTATTAATATGTTATTATTCTGTAAGAGTACGTGATAATTAAGACCAAGTACGACAGACCAAATAGTGAGATTTCAGAATGCAATTTATGAAAAAAAAGGACTGGCAGGTTTAAGCATACATAGATGCGGAATAATAAATGTAACGATATACCTAGTGATAAACGTAACAATTCCAAATCTTGTATAGAATAATACAACGTTAGTTTTATTAAAATGCATTTAATATGTCTGCTGGCCGATCATTACTGTGTACAATATTCATATTGTAACGTAGCCGCAATAGTAATATATCTTGATAAACGGAATTAAATAATAATATTGGATAACAATAAGTAGGAAGTAATGTAACTAATAGAAAAAATGTCTCGCATTAAAAAAATGCTTCTTATAAAAACTTGGAAGCTAAGGAAGAGAGTAAGTGACGTAACAGAATAAATTATCGCTATAAATGTTAACTAATGGTTATTATTGCGATTTAAGCAAACTTACAAGGAGGAAATGTAAGAAAATTGTAAAATAAATGTCATGGAAATTGAATATCTAATTTCTGATAGTGTTATTCATTGATCTTACCTAAATATCAAATAAACATCAATAATAAACATTATTGTTGTTACTTGTGTTATATTCAAAAATATCACTTGACTAACTATTATATAATAGGCGCGTTGTTTACCAGAAAAGATCAAGTTTGTATCCCCTTGCAGAAAAATAAGAACAAGCTAAGCTTGAAAGTCATTAATACCACTAAACAGGTTTGACTAGTTTATCATACTTTCTCTTCATCAGGATATCATTCAGTATACATTCAGATATACAAGTGACGTGATGTTCCAAAATATGAATCCTATTTTTTGGAAAAGTATTTCTGTTCAGTTTTGACTTAAAACAACTCAAAAATATTTGAAATCATTACATTCGATTATTTGAAATTTTATAGGCGTGAAACTTACAAGCAAAAAATCGATTGCAGAAAAATGCATGAGCTCTTTGGCAGAGTGTATAAGACCAGAATTAAACGCAATCAAAACAGCCGGTACATGGAAAAACGAGCGAGTAATTGCCTCACCTCAACGTACACGAATTGTGCTAGCAAATGGAATAGAAGCACTCAACTTCTGCGCCAATAATTATTTAGGCTTTTCTGTAAGTGTAGATATTGCTAGAATCTACATAAATCATTCGCTATTATAATAATTAATCTTGTTTATTTAGGACAATAAGGAAATCATTTCGGCCGCAAAGATTGCTTTAGATAAATATGGAGCAGGCTTAAGTTCTGTAAGATTCATATGTGGTACTCAAGAAATTCATGTAGAATTAGAAAAAAAAATCGCTCAGTTTCATGACAGAGAAGATGCTATTCTTTATGCTTCTTGCTTTGATGCAAACGCAGGACTATTTGAAACCTTATTAACACCTGAGGATACAGTACTGAGCGATGAACTGAATCATGCCTCTATCATTGATGGCATCAGACTATGCAAAGCAAAAAAACACAGGTAAAGATCTTAAATAAACGTACTATTTTAATTCTGACTGTAACAGCAAATTGCGCTCCATGAAGGTATCGGCACAGAGATATGACAGATTTAGAAAACAAGCTGCGAGAAAGTCCGTCGTCACGCTTACGTCTTATCGCCACTGACGGTGTTTTCTCTATGGATGGCACCGTTGCACCGTTACCAAAAATATTTGAGCTTGCAAAGAAATACAATGCTCTCACTTTTGTGGATGACTGTCATGCCACTGGATTTTTTGGAAAAGCTGGAAGGTAACTGTTACATTTACCAGAGATATGAGACTTTCACGGCTCGGTATTATAAAGTTATTTTGGCGTTCTTTTGAAAGAATTATTTGCAATGTTCGGATACGGCTTATACCCGAAATGAATAATTTTCTACGTGTTGTTTACAAGATATAATGCGAAGACACTATATTCTAGGAACCGCATGTCAGGAACATTCTCCAATAGTATAGAAAATTTTATACATACATCACATCCACATATATCTATGAAAATTGTTAAATTTCAGAGGCACTGAAGATTATTTCAATCAGATAGGAAGCATTGATATCATTAACTCGACATTGGGTAAAGCTTTAGGCGGAGCAGCAGGTGGTTACACAACTGGTACAAAAGAACTCGTTAATTTATTAAGGCAACGCAGCAGGCCGTATTTATTTTCGAATTCGTTGCCCCCTCCTGTAGTCGCGTCAGCAAGTAAGGTATGCTAAAAAAAACAGATTACTTTCATATTATTTAACACTTTTTTGTCCGGGAACCTATTAATAGTCCTTAATTTCGTTTTAAATACAAATTGAAAAAAATTTTACGTTTCGTTACTCGGGCTATTTTATTGCTTTGTAACATTCTAAAAAGCCTATTAAATAGTCCCCGACAGGTAAAGTGTTGAATGATAAGAACAGAGACTGAGAAAGGTGACAGATGTTTTGCAAAGTATCGTTATGCTGTAGAAGAATTCTAGAAAATTGGTATTAATGTTCCTTTGTATACAGGTCATGGATTTAATAACAGAGTCAACAGAATTTCTGGAGAAACTAAAGAGCAACACCAATCTATTTAGAAATGATATGACGGCAGCAGGGTTTGCGATCAGCGGTGACAATCATCCTATCTGTCCTGTCATGATAGGTGATGCAAAACTAGCCACTGAATTTGCTGATAAGATGATCGGTGTGTATTTTACAATCCATATGTAATTAGAATTTAACATTTTTATCTTTGAATATAAAGTCACTGTCTGTTTGCAGAGAAAGGAATTTACGTAATCGGGTTCAGTTATCCTGTAGTACCAAAGGATAAAGCAAGAATACGTGTTCAGATCAGTGCTGCACATTCACAGAATGACATAGAGCACGCCACAAATGCATTTGTTGAAATCGGAAAAGAGCTTGGAGTGATTGGTTCATAGTCTTACTTTTATCAAATTTTAAAGACGGAAAATAAGAAACTTCCGCTAAAAGTATTACTTTTTACAATTGTCTGATCACACATTTATGGAATAAAAAAAAAGTAAATTAAATTCACACGATCAATGAAAAGCAAATTATGTTTAATGTGCACAGACACCAAAGCCAAGCTTTTACATGCAAAGGAACATGTTTGTACCAAATATTATAAATAAAAATATTACCTTTTATACAAATTTCGCGATATATAAGGTTTTGTCAGTTTATAAAAACTTCTGATTATATGTAAAGTTATGTATATTCTTATTAAAGATCAATTGCATAGAAGTTAAGGTTTATATGGCTTAACAAGGTTTTCAGAAAACTCTTTGACCTGTTGGACTCCACGAACTTCCCTTTCTAATAAAGGAAGCTGTGTAATATGGAAATCTTCGTACAAATCCATTATCTACAGAAAAAAAAATTAAATTCAAATACAATGCTTTCACATAGAATCGTACCAATATGAAAAAGGTACCCTGCTTTACCTGTTCCAAATATTTGTCTTGTATTTTATGCCTAGCTAGACATAATCTGCAGGGTGCATCTCCTTCCTTCAGAAACAGCAGTTGATTCACTATAATGTTGTGAGTGTCAATTCCACACTTTGTTAGTTCCTGTACAAGTCTTTCTGTTTCATACAAAGACAAGAACTCTGCTATGCACACACAAACAAAGGTTGTTTGGTCAGGATTTCTGAATTGCTCGTTAACTTGCCGAATGACGGCAAGCATTTCCTCTATTTTATTGGAGAATGTATCTACATTGAAGTCTGTCATGCCCAATAATGAGCTTATCTAAAAATAAGTATATTTAAGATTTGAGTTGATGTTATCAAATATAATATCAATTATTGAATCAATTATTATATTGTCTTTGAACCTGCGTAATGAAAGGGCTAATTTTCATCTTTAATCTCATTAGTTTTCCCAGTCCCTTTTCTACAACTTGTGGAAAAGACAATAACCTTAAGGTATGACCAGTTGGTGCAGTATCAAAGACAACAACAGAAAAGTTCATTCCTTTGACAAGTCTGAAAATTTACACAGTTTGTTAATCCTTTGAATAAGCATCGTTACCAAGAGACAACAAAAACTACTAACTTCATAACTTCTGCATAACTCATTGCTTCATCAATGCCAGGAAATGCGCCTACAATTTCTTGCATTACACTTCTACTCAATCTCATTGCTTCGCCGCCTGAAACTATTGTACAATGCTATTAAAAATCATGTTTCTTTATTAAAATATCCATTTGAAATCATGTATAATGTACAGTGAGGATCACCTGCGTCACTTTCAAAGTATTCTTCAGGCAGTTCAGTAAGGCCAACATTTGGATCTATTTCCATGGCAAACAGATTATCAAAACCTTTTACCTTCGTCGGAACTTTGCTAAATTTCTGATCAAAGGCATCAGAAATATTGTGTGCAGGGTCCGTCGATATAATGAGTACATTTTCTCTGACTTTGGATAATTGTATGGCCAAGGAACAACTGAAAGAATGATCAAAGAAGTGTACAAATATCCCATATACTTAATGTTGTATTTTTACCCCAAAAATCAACACAAATCTGCAATAAACAATGTTCGCAGGTTATGGTTACCTGCACGTAGTTTTACCAACTCCACCTTTGCCGCCGACAAATATCCATCGGAGCGATCGTTGCTCGATCACGTTCCTGAGAGAAGGCTCATATTCGATCGGTTCAGAGTCATTTATACTCATGGTCGTCGAAACACAAATGTTTACGTGTTTAAAAAAGCAAATTTTGACACGTCATTTACTATTGTCGCTAGTTAAAGGTGGTAGAAACGTAGAGGCAGTGAGTGATACTGAAAAATCACGCCGTGCGTAATACACATTACTGAATACATAAAAACAACCTGAACATGTGTGCATACATGAGAACATCGATGTTACGCCATCGATACGTCAGAGCTGGCGACGAACACATAACTCCTGTTTAAATATTTCTAAGAATATGCCCTCCTAAATTACATTGTAGAATATAAAATAAAACTTTATATTCAGCTATTTCTAGAACCTTGTACTTATCTAGAATATTGAAAAATAGTATAAAATACACTGATGTGGGGAATACAGATTATTTTGGAATTTTCTTTGAATAGAAATTTGAAACAACTTATATAATGATTTAATAATATCGACAAACACGAGTCGATTACTCGCTGTTGAGAAAACAGCTTAATATCGATTGTAATGATCGACCACGGAGTTACACACGATACGCGATGGATGTGTGGTTTTTAATAGTAGGGGCAAGTAGGGGCTAATTTGGAAATGTCGATGAAGTGTCCGTAAACCGTGGTCCCAAAGCGTTAATGCACTGTGTTTGTTAGTTTCGTCGTGCATCTGAGAATTTTATTGACTGAGTGAAAGTATTTGCGTGTAGTATGCCGCAGTTTCATAAAATTGAAATAAACAGAACCGAATGGGAGGTTCCGGAACGATATCAAATGCTAACTCCAGTGGGATCAGGGGCTTACGGTCAAGTGTGGTAAGCAAAACTGTAATTAATATATCATTAAATAATTAATAAAGATCTTGCATCCGAGGATTTTTACTATCTTAGCCTTTACTTTTTACCATCCTATAGTAAAACTTAAACTATCCCGCTTCTTTCCTCATAAATAATCAAGTACTTTATTCCGGCCATGAACTAATCATAACCTTGACATTTCTGGCATTTGAATTGCTTGTAATTTTCTAAAGTCATTTAGCATAGTTAATTTGAACAGTGGATTTCTATTTTTAATGATTTCAATCTTTTGTTTGTTAAACTGTAAGTTATGATTGCGCCAATTCGTGCAAATGCATGAAGCGGTTTCGCGTTCTGTATCGCGAGCACTAAAATTAGATCGTTTGACAATGCTTCTCCGCTAGAATGAATTTATTGGAACTAACTTATCCGATGAAATGATTTTGTACTTTATAAACACATTCACTATGAAGTTAAATTGTTCTAAAAATTTGTAATCGTGATTATTTAGTTCGGATTTGTTATTTAAGTTGTATAATTGTTATTAATTAATATTTATAAGTTATGCATGTGTTGTTTCAGTTCAGCAGTTGACACAACGACTGAGCATAAAGTAGCAATAAAAAAGTTAGCCAGACCATTCCAATCAGCTGTACATGCAAAAAGAACATATAGAGAGCTTCGTATGTTGAAACACATGAATCATGAAAATGTGAGTGAAGACAAGTAGATTATATACACACAGAGGACATATATATAATGCATTCTTGAAGTTGGCACTGTAGAAATTATAGGCATTTAGAAACTTTGTCTTGGCAACTGAAATTAAGAGGATCCATGTTGTTACCAAGTTTTATTTTTACTTACCAAAACATAAAAGCATCACTGATCTTTATTAAACTTTGTAATATACTCAATTTTCAAGAATTGTGCATGCTATAAATGCATAAAGTCTGTAGTCTATTTATTAAAATATTATACTGTTACTCATTGCAGGTAATTGGTCTATTAGATGTATTTCATCCATCCTCTTCTCTGGAAGATTTTCAACAAGTGTATGTATTTTTATAAATATTGTAATGCAATTGTTTGAATGCACAAAAAAGTTTGAAATTTTAATCATTATTTTTTAATAATATTGTGTATACTTTTAATAGATATTTAGTTACACATTTGATGGGTGCAGATCTCAATAATATTGTAAGGACCCAAAAACTTTCGGATGATCATGTACAGTTTCTTGTGTATCAAATCCTTCGTGGTCTTAAGTATATTCATTCTGCGGGTATAATACACAGGGTAAGGTATTATGGTTTGTAATACAATTATTAAAACTGAAAGAAATTTAATATGGATTACTTCTATTACTTAGGATTTGAAACCATCCAACATAGCTGTGAATGAAGATTGTGAACTGAAGATTTTAGATTTTGGATTAGCGAGGCCTACAGAGAATGAAATGACCGGATATGTCGCCACAAGATGGTACAGAGCCCCAGAAATCATGCTCAATTGGATGCACTACAATCAAACAGGTAGTTATTTTTTCTTACAGGTCGCTTGTAACTTATTATGTTACATTAATGTTTGCTTTTCTTTCTAGTTGACATATGGTCAGTTGGATGTATAATGGCTGAACTGTTAACAGGGAGAACATTATTTCCTGGAACAGATCGTATCCTTTTCGGGCTCTTTAAATACTTGCACTAAATAATCACAATCATTGTTTGTGCTTTCTGTTTAACTATATCATACTAATATATTCATACGAATTTCATTTTATAATAGTAACATATATCACAAATCTTTAACCATCTCAGAATTAAAAAAATGTGCTTTTTGCTAAGGCTCTACATGTGGCTTTTATTTTGCTTCAATGTCTTTTGGTGCTAATATATTAATATATCTTCTTTTATTTGCCTCCTGGCTTACTTTCTTTTGATTCGGCTTTAATTCCATAGCAAAAACGGTTTAATTATTATGTAAGAAAGGAGTATACATGTATGACATGTTTATTAATTAATACGCATTAATGCACAAAGTCACATTACCCGTTACGTCGTTTAACAATGAAAAGTTTAATAAAAGTAGAGAAAGGTGTGGTGGAACCTTAGCAAGAGCAGATATACATCAACTGAACTTAATAATGGAGATATTGGGTACTCCACGAGACGAGTTTATGCAAAAAATATCATCAGAATCGGTGAGTAATCCCTGAGTTGTTAAGTACGGATTCATCTACTACATAATATTCTACTAGTGCATGCTGTTAATATATAGTGTGTTGTGGCTTAAATGCCTCGCATGTATTTTTTTTATGCCATCGAGATATGCGATATTTGTGCAACAAAATGCAAATAAAAGAAACGAATTATCTTTAATGTGAGTATGTATTAATATATTATTCGTTTTAACTTTTTGCTATCCCTTTTTGGAATGAAGACAAGCGCTTTGAACTGAGGCACTTCTAATATACTCCATTCTAATAAAAGTCTTCCTCATTGTATGATGAATTATGCTTTAAACATACCTTAACTTTAAGCAGCCATTGATCATCTAACACGAGTCTTAGTACTCTGTGGTACACCCACAGAAGAAACTTTAAGCAAAATTAGCAGCCAAGAGGTAATTTTTTTTTTTTTGAGATAAACAATTTTTGTAACCTTCATTCACAATACAATCCGGCAATTTGAAAATATGATTTTGCTTTGAGTTTATATCGTATTAAATATAGCAGAATATTTGAAAATATGCAGAGAGTGTGGTTCTGTGAATAACTTATAAGATATATAATTTACAACTTTAGAAAATATTTATATGATTCTTTTACTTATAAGCGCAAAGCAGTATTAAATTATATGAAAGTTACAAATGTAACAAACTTAAATAATGTTTTAGGCAAGGAATTACATACAAAGCTTACCGCCTTTGAAGAAAAAGAACTTCAAAGACGTTTTTCGTGGCGCTAATCCTTTAGGTAGTTATCAAATTCAAACGTTTATTACCTAAATAAATGTAATAAAAGTTGAAGGTAATATAATCCGCATTGTTTTTTAGCCATAGATCTACTTGAATTGATGTTGGAGTTAGATGCAGAGAAACGAATTACGGCAGAACAAGCTTTAGCTCATCCATATCTTGCACAATATGCAGATCCAACGGATGAACCAGTATCGCTTCCATATGATCAGAGTTTCGAGGATATGGATTTACCAGTTGAGAAGTGGAAAGGTATAGAACCTAGATAAGTCTTGGACCGAGTAATACAAGTAACTAACGTAGATGTTGTTTTTTCAGAACTTGTATATCACGAAGTTATAAACTTTGTACCACAACAACTACCCACATTGTCTTCAACAATTGAATCCGCTTCATAAAGCCATGTCAGTAGCACAAATAATATAGACATAAGCACAGTAAGATAAAATTAACGAGAAATAATTACAAAAGAAAGTATATATTGTTATATACAAAACTGTCATTGTATATAATGTTACATAGTAACATAGGTAATCATACAAGCCAATGCATACTAAAGGCAGAATGTATATTTTTGTTAATGACATACGATACAAGAAAGTCTAATATTTTTCACTTTACACACAGAGATTGTTTTAAAATGTAAATCTACGAATATACAATTCGTATTCGTATTCATGGTTGTACATGAACATTTTATTATGTATCCATGAACTTCGCAATGAAATGAAATGTTTTGAGGCTATAATTACGTCACCGTAGGCTTAATATGTTTTGAATGAATATTTTTCATTAAATTAAATGAAACCCCACAATATAGGAAAGAAGTAACACTAGCTTCAAAGCATGGAATTTTGTTTAAAATCATTGCTGTTTCTAGTCTGTAACAAAAAACCTGTTAGATCAAATTTATCATTGGAATTAATTTTATTATTTCATAATTAAATCATTTAAAATCATGTCATGTGTATGATAATATTAGAGTAGTGCTTTCAACAAAAAAAAATTTCCGAATAAATTTTTTGATCTTTGTACATTGTTTGTTTCTTGTGTATCGAACAAATAGTTTTAAGGAGAATTGTTTAATAAATACTGGATACATAAATTATTTGGATTAAATTGAATACATTCTTATGGGAAGGAATCAATACATAAAAGGACTTTTTGTGTACTTCATGTATCTTTTCACTTTTTTTGTGTATTTTTTTAAATTTTAGTCAATTTTTTAAAAACTTGTATGTGTATAATGAAGAATTCAAATGTAATTCGATCATTGCGTTCTTCTAAAAAGAAAATTCTTGCGACAGATTTTGGTACAACTTCAAGAGATGTAATGAGAAAACTTTTATGATGTGTTAAATAATGACAACTAGGCAGATGGAGGGTTAAATAACCTGAGCGTGCTGAAATAATCGATCCAGTATCATGCCAATTGTATGGACTGAAAGTCAAACTTTGAAATTAGTGATTCTTTATAGTCGACACGAATGTCTGAGGAATCCGTTTCACCCTGACTTTACAAATAAACTTTGTCGCTACAAAGCATACAAGGACATTGTCGATTCCATAAATGTCTGTAATTTAACAGTGTGTGATTGTATTAAAAAGATTACCCAGTTAAAGGCGCAGTACTGTTACGAATTATCTAAAATTAGTGCAGCGATATCTTGTGAAAAAGTTTATAAACCAAAAGCAAGTTGGTTTCCAATAATGCATGAAATACTTTTTCCAATTATTAAAACGTATAGTTACAGGGATGATTCCTGGAAGGTACATAAAATATGCTACTATTGAAATTCATTTTACAGATCTTATGTGGTCATTATAATTATTTTCTTACATTCAGGTATGCATCGATAAAAGAGACGCGCTGAAAGACTATCGCAGTAGTGAAGTGAAGGATCAGTTACTAAATTCAAATACGGTAGAAATAAAAAGAATACCAAGGTGTTGCAATTGTTTTCATACAAATTGTGGTTGCACCGAACTTGAAAAGGCAAAACCTCGGATAAGTCTCAAGTAATTCATTCAGAAGTCCATTAACTTTCACGATTAGAAGCATCCACTTTTACATACTTCTCTGTCTAGGAAATACTGGACAGAAGCGGAATGTGATAAAGGAATAAGGTCACAAGTAACTAGAATCAGTACTGGATGTAACGCACAGAAATGTATTACTGTAGAAAGTGAAATACAAACAGACCTCTCTTTCTTCAAAACTGAATGCAAAACATGTCAAATCTATCCGACCGATGGTACATCAATTAAAAGTGATTTGGTAAATAGAATCAAATTATCAGTATTAAAAAAAAATGTCATGTCTGACACGCTTGAAAGTCAAATTATGCACGAAAATGTGTTGCAGAAGGACGGTTACCGTGTAGATAACACAACAATGGACGAGTTCGACATGTTTGGGAAGAGCATAGCATTTCAATTGCGAAATATACATTTCGGTAAATATAATATTATACACGAATTAATTGTAATACTGTTGAATTGCATTTGCTCTTGTAGAAGCCGCGATTAAGTTGGAGAAACGTATACAGAACTTAGTCGTCCAAGAACGTCTAAATAATATAAATTCGAAACACATGTCCCACAGTTTTTATTTGGATTGTTCTAGTACTAGCTGTAGCGAGTGTAAAGTTCTGCGCAAGGAAATGGTTTGTAGTTGCGGACTACCGGTGATCAAGATACGGACCGACGCGTCTTGTGAATTTTCCAAACAACAGACACACAAGGATGATTTTATCTAATTACTAATATAATTTACTATAGTTCCCCCTGGTATCTAGAGTCCCGTGTGAAGAGAAAGAAATTTGGTCCAAAAAGAAAAGTGTAATAAAATCAAAGTAACTTGACAAACGGTCTCTCGTTCGATGTGTCTTGCGATCAAATTCACTCGTGTTCCTTAACCGTTAAAAAATTTCATCATGACAGTACCCGTCAAATTCTAAACGTGCGCAAAGTATCATATCCGCTGCTTTCGGAGAATCATCGGGTTGAGATACGATCGATAAAAACGCAGCAACCAGCGGCATAATGTCTAAATGGAACGAGAAATTGGTAACAAATTTCTTGAAAATGTACAAACGACATCCGTGTCTGTGGAATCCTTACGACAAGGACTATTACAACTGCAAGGAAAAGAATGAAGCGTTGCAAAAAATTATCGACGACCTCGGTACTCCTGGGTTTACTGTAAACGATTATTTACAACAGATCAAGCTGATACGAGAAAAGTAATGTACGACCGAAGATTTTAATAATGTGCATTGCAAATAAAAAAAACATGCTACGAATGAATATCTAGTAATTCTTTCCAAATAATTAGCAATACGAAATTTCACTTTGCCAATGATCTGTTGCATGACCTTTAAACGATACCGAACATAGGATTTTTAAATAAATCATCGTGTGTATGTATAAATGGGACTAACGATTTTTATTGGCATAGGTATAAGAAGGAGCAATCGCGGACGATTAAAGGCCTACAATCGCAGAAGCAATACAAGTCACCTTTCTCTTGGTACAACATAGTGGCGGATATGTTAAGGAAAGTGATCAGTGATGAGGAAACAATGAATGTCGTTTCAATCGTGAAAACCACACCTCCAGATACATCTGTCCTGAAATCGTTGAGTAGCGATAACATACGTTATCCCAGAAAAGACGATAAATCGAGAATTCGCCCGTGTACGGATGCGACTTGCGACGCGGTCGCTAGGAAAAGCAAGTCAGCTCGTTTGAATATCAAATTTACACCGAGTAAAACTAACGAATCCCGATCGAATACGCGAACAAGGTACATTCTCTGTCCACGAGCAAGAAACACTTCAAAAAGTTCAGGTGAACACGCGGTTTCGAACTACAAATCTACTAGAAACGTTGACTCGAAAGTAACAGGTAAAGAAATCTTTGTAAAAAATATTAGAGCCACGAGAATAATAGGGTATTTAATCTTTCAACAGAGTACACAGTTCCATATAACTCGATAAATTCAACTCCTACTAATTCCGAAAGGGGTAGTACTAAAAAGTATGATCCACCGTTTTTGAATTGTCCTCTGTGCGGTTGGGAATCTGCAAAGTATAAAAGCGCTGGGCGTAACGTAGAGAAATCAAAGCAGGAGAAAAGAACCCTTACTACCCCTACCACTTGTACTAATTACTCCAGGGATGCCCCTAAGTTGATGTATACGAGATGCAGTGGATGTAGTAAAGGTACACGACACTGCAACTGTGTAGGTATAGGAAGAACTGGACCGATGTATCCTTGCGATGCACCGTAAATACCACGGTTTTCAAACTCCTTGATGTTAACGTTGTCCTTGGTAGATGTTACGCACGCAAAGGACTTATCCAAGTCAGCACCACTTTCCTCTGTAATGAGTAAACTCCCGAAATCGGATGTGGGAGTGCAGAGTGTAGATACTCCGCAGACACAGGTGGTACAAATTGAACCTAATGTGACGAATCAACTCGAAGGTGGTACGATAGAGGCATGCACTCGGTTCAAAATTACTCTGCCTGACTCAAAGTTGGGAAGGAATGCAACGGGGACGCCGAGTATTTGCTACTGCACTCAAGGCGTTCAATGTCTGAAACCGGACTCGTGCGCGAAATGGACACAACTGTCTGCCGAATTAAAGACAGACGATGCACACACTAATACGGTGAATTATCGGGAACAAGGTATACAAAGTACAGTATGTATGTCAAATGGAACGAGACGTTGCGCCTCCATTCAGACGTTGAATCAAATGGAAGAGAAACAAGTGGGCGAATCTAAAATAGGGGAAGATTCGAAGGATTTTGGAATAAATACTATAGGTCGAACAAGCAAAGGAATTCAAAGCGCGGTTTGCGTGTCACGAGGAAACTTGGTCTGCTCTTCGTTTTTCGAACGAATGAAAGACGTTGGAACTACCCCGTCTATTCATAAAATCCGTAGTAGCAGTTGTATAATGTCTGTGAATTTCAAGAGCATCGGTACCGATAGCCACTATGTATCTCCGATTCAAGTAAAGTCTCATGGATCCATAAATCGATCCATCCAACACACGGATTTTTCAGAAGCTGCAACGGGAGAAAGTAAGCGTTTAAAGCTGCGTGGAGTTTATTTGCATGGTTACCAATCACTTTGTTTGGTGCATTGAAATACTTTTGTTCATAAACAGCTCAAGTGTACGCGAGATCATGTAATACGGAAACATGTCCACGCAACGTGTCCGAACTGATGAAAGATCCTACTGTAGTGTCTGTATTGCAACAATTTCTGTGCAAGATGTTATCTTCAAAGGTGAACGGAGTGTCTCGATGTATAAAGGCCCAAACTAACTGTAAGTTACTTGATCTCTTCATACTTCATATGATCTAAGAAACATTTCATTCAGATGAACAGAAAAATAGTGTTGGCTGTACAACTGATGCAGTCGAGATGGTGAAAAAAATCAAAGAGTTCGCGGACATGACGATAGGAACGAGTCTCTCTAAAGATGAGTGGATACAAACTTTGGCTGATGCAGAGATATCCACCGTCGGCATAAATAAGCGGACAATGACCGAAGACGGTTCTTGTAAAGCAGTTTATCGGTCTATCGGTGTCCAAGGAGATGAAAAAAATCGGACTAGCATTTAATGCCGAGATATTGGGATCAGTGGATCATTATCACAGTTTCGCGACGTAGGCATTCAGAATGGTTCCTTGGATGGTACTGTGTGTACAAATAAATTGGGCACGGACACACAGATGAAAATTACCGTTGGTACACAGAAACGAGACCCTATATTGGTCCGGGTGATAAAATGCCCCGAGAGTCAAACAATTAATAAATCAGACAAAGAAACAACAACCGTGGGAACGGAGGGCGACCTTGAAAAGAAACGCTTTAATAAACGCGTAGAGATTTGCGGTCGATCTACTTGTGTGCCCTATACAGTCTGTCGGCGATCAAAAGAGAACTCGGAACCTGCTTGTCAGAAAGGACATGAATATCAAGTGGAGTGTGATTATCGTGAACGATCGTATGCGGACTACCACTGCGATAAAAACTGCAAAGGCAAAACGTATTGCAATCAGGATTGGACAGATATTACGAATGCCGATGCGTTTGACAGTCTTAACAGTTCTAAAATTCCATTGTGCGTGAAGCCGGCACGAAAATGTACATTTACAAAAAGTAAATAGTTGAATGTATAGGGATATAATCAATATTGTTGATCGTCCATAATTTTGTTTAATAGTATGTTCTTGATACTTTTTTTTTAACTATGGATTACACTCTGATTAACCAGAGTTTAATTATTTTCGCTTATCTTTCTTGAACTTAATACACGTAAACTATAGCACAATATATATTTATGTATAAACTACAAGAAATCACATTATATATTGCTGCGAAAAGCTGATTTATCAACTGCCTTACTATAATAGCTTTGAACATAATTTTAACGATTTCTTATTGACAACACAACTAAATGGTGATAAGAAGGCAATATACATATTTAACATTGAATTGTTTTTTTTTTTTTTTTTTTAAGAGACTGGTCGCATTTGCAGTTACGTACATTAAAAAGGACGGTGAGACACATTGCAAGCATAGAAGAGCGAACTTCATTTTATTACATGAAAATGTACAATGTTCTAACAAATTGAACATTATATGAAAATTAAATGATTTAATTTTCATAATAATTCATATTCATATATTGTTCAGTCGAAGGCAAACACTTTGATACACGTACGTGTGGTAAGTACCAGACATTTGTATTTAATTCTAGTAAAATAGTATAAAAGAGGTGTACATTTCCCCGTCATGTACTTTTACATGTTTTTTATTTTTCTGTTGATCGTTTCATCGTCGAAATTGTATAGGCTATTTCGGTACAGATAATACATCCGGACATAAATGGATTCCTCATGAAAACAAAAATCGAAAATATCGAATAAATATTTTTCGTTTGCGGCTTCATTTTCGAGAAAATTACGCGTGAACTTGTCAGACTTTCGACCTAACCGATCGCACTATAATGGTATTATATTAGCTATGTTTATGATCATGCAAATATTACTCATTTATTAAATCAATAACACGAGTGTTGGATCAATCGTCGTGGAACGGTGATTTGGCCTGCAAGGTCACAGAACCTTACTCCATTCGATTTTTTGACTGGACAGAGGATGAGCTCATTTTAATGCCATTATAGTGCGATCGATTGGATCAAAAACCTAGAAAGTGCACGCCGTACGCGAAGAATCTTCGAACTTACTTTTCTTAAAAACGAAGCCGCAAACAAAAAATCGTTATTGTATATTTTCGATTTATTTCTTCATAAGGCATCCACCCAGCCCGGTTATACCACCCGTACCGAAACACCCTGTATAACTTCGTAAACCTGAGTACGTCCACTCCTATCTTTTGTGGTAAGTAGATACCGCACGGTAGAACGACGGATTAATCTTTTTGTCGTTACAAGGTGCATGTCAAAGTTAGGATACTTCAAATTGGCCTTAATAAGCCCTAAGATGCACTTATATTGTAAGGAAGGTTTGCATATTTCATTACAATCGTCATGTCAACAACTGTTTTTTAAATTCGATCGCTAAAGCCTGACGTGAAGTGTATATAATATATACATATATTATCAAAAAATCGGCAACAAGGGACATATCTCTAATGATTGCACAATCAGATTACGTGTATCTTGTTGTCTCCAAGAACAATAATTTTCAACTAACAGATATATATATATATATAACACTAAAATTACGTTCGTTTTTATAAAATCGTCGGATTGATTACGGAGAGCGTATGATTAAATCACATGTAAGTATGTAAGTATGGCGACATGTAGTTGCTAACAGATATAATACTGTTGATTTTCTCAGTAATTAAAGTCACACTCTCCACTGTATGTATCACTCGTCGTTATTAAAATACGTATAATAAGTTATTGTACTTCTGATATTTAATGATTTGTCGGTGACCACGCTTTAACATGCGAGTATCGTATAACTAGCTTTAAATTGTTTGTTTCGTTTGCAAACCATTGCTGATATTAAGATTAATTTCTTTGGTAACTTTATGCCCCTGTTGAAGAATATAGCGAATGAAATTAATGTTTCAGAAAATTGTTCCTCCTTCTGAAATAACGTTACGTAATACGCACGCATAGTATTATTAAGGGTATACGCACAAAATGTACAAACGTTTAGTCCTTTTTCTTGGCATCTGCTTTCTCGTCTTTGGCTTGGCCTCGGCCCAGCAATTTGGCTAACGAATCCCAGATTCCTCCAAGAAACAACGCGCAAAACAGATTTTCAAAAGGTACAAACGGATCGTGAATACCCAGTAAAATAGATGATAGCTAGAATAATATTAATATTAAATATTTTTAAAGAAAAATATAATCAATACGAAAGGGGAAATAGTCCTTAAATAGTGAACAAAGTATTGTACCTTGAAGTACACGAAAAAGATAACGATACCGAAGTAAACCAATGCATGAGGTGCCGAAATAAGATCAGTCTTTTTATCTAGGACGAAGATGATAGACGCAACCATTGAAGCTTTCGTGGGGCTAAAACAACAAATTGTTTTTATAGTATGTACTAATATTAACGGCAAAGGCAATTTACAGAGAGAGAACAATAGGAACCAGACATACAAGCTAGGTTGCATGAATTCCATTGCAGTTGGAGTCCATACTCCTCGTATGAGACGTTCAAACAACTTTGTAAAGCCTGCAGCATTGCCTGTAAATAAACACAGTAAGTTAATTTTCACGATTACTTCGTAAATTTCCCTTGTAATTAAATTTTCTAATATTAATTTTCACCCTTGAGTGTTCCAATTAAGATCATGATAAGATATGCATTCGGATAAAGTTTTCCAGCATGAGTTACTCCATCGTATACTTTCTTACACCTAAAATGATTGAAAAGTGAAAAAAGCTTAAGATAACAATAATAAAAACAATAAAACGTATTTTCTACATATTTACCTGTATATTTCCTTCAGAGTTGCACATACGAGTTTCACTGGTAGAAATTTGGCTACTTTGTACCCAATATCAAATGGTGTATAAAATATCACATACCTATATACACGATAATTTTATTTACAGGTGTGACTTGTTAGTATAGTTTATAACTTTTAACAAAGTACAAAAGAGCTACAAGGAACACTTCTATCTGAGTATAAATATATAAAAATATAATTATGAGTATTATTCGTAATACAATTAAGTATGTACTGACCAAACAATGGTTGCAACTACAACTTGTGGTGTATTTTTTAGAGGTGCAATAATTGGTTCCCCTAAAAGACCGTTGCATAGCATACCACTCGCAAATACTACCAACATTGTTGAAAGCCAGCATGATAAAGGATGTTTCCGTGAGAATGCTTGGGCACCTATTACATAAAAATATAAAAAGTGTTAGAGACCTTGAATTAGAGACAGGCCATTGAACTTATAGTCTTCGTTTTAGTTATGATATATATAAAAATTTAAGTAATCATAAACAAAAGATTTAAAGAAAACAAAATAATAAATGATATAAAGAACAGTGAAGTGTATTATGAACATTTAATATACCACAAAATATCAAAGGGTTGTGCTGTTCCAAATAGGTCGCTCAGAATCCTTATAAGTATACTATCAAACACACATACACATATATACATAGAAAGAGTGATGCCAAGTTACCACCACAGATGCAGAACTAATGATTTCTAGACACACTACTTTTAAAGAACAGGAAACACATTGAGAAAATAAAAAATGTTAGACAATTAATTTTTATATAATATTCAACAATACAAGTTATATATTCAGAAATAAGTGCAATGTAGTATAAAAAATGCATAGAATCATTTGAACAATTCTGGTTACCCAAGGTCTGTCCTTCATGGTTCATTGAATAAGGAAGTCATTGAAAAGGAGATTTTCTGGTGAGTTATGAAGGTATAATTGTTGCACAATGTACTTTCATACTGTACATTCTTAATTCTTCAACACATTTGAACAAAACTGTTCATGCATTAACAAGTAACATGAGAAATCCTACTAAATATATGATTATGTAGCAGAAAGACCAAATTTTGAAGAAATTGGACACAAAGGTATATACTGAAATAGACTGGCTGGGTTGTTACAGTGAATGACATAAAATAAGATTATTACAGTTGTGCCAGAGATTACATGGGAACAGTTGTTTGATTAAAAATCTTCGATTTTTTAACACAATAAAAGAAAAAAAATTATACAATCATTCGTATATTTTTCACCGTGTAAACAATACTTAATTAACGGGATTAAATATTACGCATATCACGCTGAAAAAGCTAAAATTAAAACGAATCATGGATCTCTAAGCACAGCGTAAAAATAGTACATGGCTTAGCAACGAAAATACGACCGATAATACCGATCGTCTAATGAAATTAACTAATTCCCGATCGTTCATAACTACAGAAAGACGCACTGGATATTTTTATACTTCGAGCGATTTGAGAACAATAGAATTTGGATTTTTATGGCGAGAAAGAAATTTCTGGATAAGGAAAACCGATGTGAAAAAAGGAACAGTTTTCGGGGGCGAAATATAATCTTAGTAAAGCTATAAGCTAGCTCTGGCTGGATTAAATATAGAATTGGTCGGGTGGGCTTGGGCTTACCGGGTCCTAAATCCTCTCTGACGTGTAGCGCGCAGAGTACGCTATGCGCGATGTCGAAGTACGGAAACATTTTCAATTTAATGACCTGATTGGCCATGTCCAGGAATGCTTCAGGATCCATTTTGATTAATTTTCACTAGATTTCCGATACACCGGGGCTCTTGTTCACAGAAAACGTGTATTTCGATGTTCGACAATGTCCGATTTTAAAAGGCAGTCTCAAGTGCCCGCGAATGACGCTAGCTACGCGCCGTCTGCTAGAGTCGGTCGTCTGCTAGTTATGGAGCCCGGCCATCTACCATTATAATACAAAAAAACCTTATCGTCGACTAGCAAGTTTTGTTGCCTCTTTAAAACTCCCACCTACAGATGGCAGCAAACGATTGCATTTGTATATCGTACCATTCATATTCATGTTTTCGTTTCAAAATGTTTGAAATAAAATCGCATTAACAATAGATATTTACATGCTAAGAAAAAATGACATAAAATGTATACGATTACAGTGTATGTACACTTTAAACTGACAAAATGGTCAGTATAATACATATATTTAATTGAATTTCGATTGAAGTTTACAGTACGCTGATTAGTGATTATTTTTATCAAAATCTAAATCTTGATTACCTGATAATGCCTATCTTTTCTCATTTTTTTTTACAATCGTGTTATGATTTTTCTGCAAGAAATTAATTAAGCAGTAGTTGACAATAGTTGATAAGTGTATCAGTGATTATGAAATTGGCTTAATCTGTAAGAATTGAAAGTATCAGTTATTTTAATATAACATTTATCTACATTATAATAATGTGAATACATGATCGTAGTAGAATATCCTAACGCTTTTTCGAGCGATTCCGTTACTTTTTTCAGAACGTAACCCCTTATCCTTATCCTAGAATTTGATCACAATATGTATATAATAGCTCGTTTCTACTAACTTTCCTTTAAAGCTATATTCAAGCATATAGATGCAACACTGATGTTAGCGAGTATCGGGCAAGTTGGTAGCAACACGAGTCTTTATTTAAAAAGGAAGAAGAAAATGTGATATACCTATTCCTATTTATCTAAATAATCGCGATGGCAAATGAATTCATGCGGCTATAATCTACCTAAATATTTTACTGTAACACTTCACATCCACTGAAAATAATGGTCGGCTATAACAGCGTGGGTTTATGTAAAGAAAGGGCCGGAATAGTTGACGAATAATTGTGATCATTAAATGAGAAATAGAAACAACGAATGGTGGCTTATCAATGTTGTTTCGGATATCGCATTTAGTAAATTAATTTTTGACAGAAACTCGCTGTTACGGTGGTTCATCGTTATCGAAAATTTTCACAATTATGAATATCACCTTTGACCAAAAACACGATAACGAGATAAGTAAAATAAGTAACGCCGTTGATGTATTTGATTTACAGTAAGGAATCTAAAAGCATCAAAAGTTTCATATTTTTCAGTGTACATTGTGCAGTGTACATACTGATGCATCAATCAAAGTTATATGACATTGCTTGTATTGTTCTGATTTAAGTGTCTCACTATTTTCTAAAGTACTTTCCAGTTTCAAGCTTTGACCATGGTAAGGTACTTTTTACATAAGAATTATATTGTACCCTTTGTACTTAATATACTGACAGTAATTATTTTCAGAGAGACGGTATCAGATATCGACAGCATGTGTCAAAAAGAGCAGCTGGCGATGCACTATATGCAGATAAAACTTCTCTGAAAAAAAAGGAAGTATTGCCGAATGAAACTCAGCATTTGCTGTTTCTTTTCACCTTCTTTCTTTTTGTATCCATTGTCATAATTGCATTCGAGAAGAAACTACCTGAACCATTAACAATAAACAAAGAAGGCCTATATCCTGGAAGATTTATAGGAGAAAGAGCTTATAATCATCTTATAAATCTTACATCTATTGGCCCAAGGATTGTTGGAAGTTATGCGAATGAAGTGTTGGCAATTAAATATTTAACAAACATTATTAATAGTATAGTTAAGGATGCTAGTGAAAACCATAAACTTCTAGTTAATGTAACCAAGCATAGTGGAGCATTTCCTTTGAAATTCCTTGATGGAATGACAAATGTTTATAGAAATGTTCAGAATGTCATTGTTAAAATTGGCCCACATAGACCTACACATACTAGCGTGTTACTAAATTGTCATTTTGATACTTTTGCCGATAGTCCTGGTAAGAATTAAGTATTAGGTGATTGCAAAAGTTTTGATGGTTTTAATCAATATAATATTAGAACTACTCTTTTATATTTTTCATTATCTATCTTTTTATTCATTATTTTATAAAATATTGAAATAAGAGTCAGAGAATGAAATATAGAATATATAAATGAACAATTGGTAACCAAAAATATTAAAAACAGTTGTTATATGGTTTATTATTTAAAACCAATAAAACTACTGCACTCACAATGAAATAATTTATGTTTTTCATACATATTCAAGCAAACAGATTTATTGTATGATTTTTTTATCATAGGTGGATCTGATGATGGAGCAGGTTGTGCTGTGATGTTAGAAGTTTTACGTGTAATTGCCCATAGTTCAAAATTGTTAAAGCATAATATTATATTTTTATTTAATGGTGCTGAAGAAAATTTATTACAGGTATAACATGTCCTGTAGCAGAAACAATAAGAGAAAACTTTGAATATTTTGGCTAATATGACCACTCGGGTTTTTTAGGCTTCTCATGGTTTTATAACGCAACATCCATGGGCTAAGGAAGTACATGCTTTCATAAATTTAGAAGCTTGTGGGGCCGGTGGTCGTGAATTATTATTTCAGGCTGGACCTGACAGTTCTTGGATGCTTCAGGTACTGCCGAATAACATAGTTCTATTAACTAAGCAGTTTTATTATGTATGCTACTTTTTGTTATTATTGTTCTTCTAGGTGTACTCCAAGTCTGTTCCCTACCCATATGCATCCTCCTTAGCCCAGGAAATTTTCGAAAGTGGTATTGTGCCTGGTGACACTGATTTTCGAATATTCAGGGATTTTGGAAATGTTTCTGGTATTTAGATTCGGCTAGTCCAAATCAGATACTCTTTGAATTAATTAACAGTTCTATTAATCGTGTTATCATTAATTTACAGGTCTCGACTTTGCTTGGTCGACCAATGGTTACGTGTATCATACGAAATTCGACAACATTGATCAAATACCAGTTGGATCTTTACAGAGGACTGGAGATAATATACTTGCTCTACTACAAGGAATAGTGTTGGATAATTATTTATCTGAAGTAATTCAGGATAATGCCGGGAAGCTTGTGTTCTTTGATTTCCTGGGCACATTTGTTATTAGATGGCCGCAACATGTGGCTAGTACAATTAATGTTATCAGCATAGTTGCTGGTGTATATTCTATATATCTAAATACGCAGAGCGCACGAAGAGACGTAAAAAAGTTTATATATTTGAAACATGTATTACTTTGTATTGGAGCAATAACTGTTTCATGGCTGGTGTCTATAATTTCATGCACAATGATTGCGTTTGTCCTTACCAAGCTTGGTAAAGTTATGAGTTGGTATGCAAGACCAGCGTGGTTGTTTTTCTTATACGTCTGTCCAACAATTTTCGTATCAATGATGTTTTTCCTACATGTTGGATCACGTCAGAAGAAGGTGAGTATCGCTGTGATTTCATTAGTCGTTTTCGATTTAACTCATCTTGTACTGACATTTTATAGGAAGTTAAGTCCACATGGATTTTGTATCAAATATACTGTGATGCATATTCTATTATATGGATGCTGATTCTCTTTTGTTGTGTTGTATTCGAAATACGATCTGGTTTTATACCGTTGCACTGGGTCGTGTTCCCTACAGTTGGAAATTTACTCCGATATAATTTCTTTAATAAGTGGCGAGGTATAATTACCATTTATGATTGATTCTTTAATTTTAATGAAAGTATCATAAAATTAATTTATATTCTTAAAATCTGTTTATTTTAGGCTGGAAATGGCTACTCTATTATTTAGCTACAATGTTTGTACCCTACATGCAATCATTTTACTTAGTGATCGGAGCTCTTTATCTCTTCATACCCATAATGGGACGGTCTGGTAGCAGTATAAATTCAGAAGTTGTCATGGCCAACACATTGTGTATACTATTTTGTCTGCTGCTTAGTTTTACGGTATATTATGAAAATTAACATTAAAACGTGGACAATATTTTTAAAATACTGTTTTATAATGTTGACAATTTTTTCTTCAGTTACCGGTAGTACTTTTAATACGTCATTGGCGCCAGAACGTTTTATGATCGCGGTAATGATTAAATAATTAAGACTATCTTTTAGAAATATGAGATATTCTATACTATTAATTGCATGTTAAATTTTCAGCATGCACAAAGACAATATTACGACATTAACGGTAATTTACGGTATTCTGGAACTGGATATTGGATAGCTGATTTAGACATGAATAGTCCACATAGCGTAGAAGCTATGGTCCCTGAAATAGCAGCTGCAACACCAACTGTGAAGGATTGTGAACATGAATTATATTGTGGCCTACCATATTTTATGCCAGTTACAACTTTCTTGTGGTAAATGTTACATTACACTGCGATAATTGAATTAAAACATATCTAATATACAAATTTCACCAATAGGAAAACGAGCTGGATTCCAGGACCTGCGCCCCTCATTACCATCCCAACAAAATTGGATCTTATTTCAAAATCCATGCGACAAAATATCGTCAGTTTTACGTTCAACGTTACAGGTAATTATTTAACGATTATATACATTACGAAGCGTCCACTGAAAATTACGTCAAATTTCTATCTTCAGGTCCAGATCACATAAGCATCATTTTATCCCCGTACAAAGGAGTCCATTTAGAGAAATGGTCTGTTTTGGAAGGAACAGCGTTGCAAGGACCTAAATGGAATGATAGGGAAACGTATTTTGTTTATTATTCCTGTGCGTCTGACTGTGTTCCTTATACATTTACTGTGGAGTTAAATGTAAGTGTAATGTGAAAAATATGAATTTCAATGATTATACGATGTTTCTTTACTCCTGCAGGTACCCTATGTGCAAAAGGCACCATGTTTGTCTGTAGCATTGGGTGGCCATTTTCTACATGGCGAGCATCAGAAGTCTTTGAGATTTAAAAGATTTCTGGCTCAATTTCCACCTTGGACTGTTGTCACTCCATGGACAGCAACCTACACTTCGTGGCAATTCTAAAATGGCGCCGAATAAGTATTCTATCATCAAATGCTGTTGCATAAAAAATAGTCAACGGGAGCCTAACCAAAACCGCAGTATATTAGTGTAATTCTCGATACGATTCAAAGACATATGTATACATAACAATGCGATTTATAAGCTTAATATTTAGAGAACTACCATATTATATACAAGTTAACTTCTCGAAGTCGCAATTTAGTGAGAAACATCGATCAGCATTAAAAGAAACTATTTGAAGAATGGGCCATTTGTCATTCTATTTATATAAAATTTTTTACTAGTATATTATTGGGGTAGGTTTAGGATGCTGATTTCAATGAGATTGGTACAAAAGTAATAATGGTCTTATAAAATTGATACTTCAGTAATTATATTACTGGTTATAAAGAAATATGACGATGGTAGCATATCAATTATATGCCTTAGAGTAATTACTGCTACATTTAATTTTTAAATGCTAGAAAATTAACATTATTATTACAGACGAATGAATCTGTAATAGTGGTAAGAAATGGAGTTTAACATTTTAAATTCCGCTGAGCTGTTGCAGTATGACTATTTCTTTACTTTATAATCTCTATTAAGGAATATTTTTTACACGATCCTTCTCGTTTAATGGTCGAATGTGATAAAAGATACAATCTTCAAAAGCACAAATGTAACAGTCTACTTTGCTGTAAGAAGATATCTTTTTTAATTTAATTTATTTTAGTATTTATTTCCTGTTACTAAGCTGTACAGTTATTGCATAAATGTGTTTTTTTTGGACGGGTTACATATGTTTGACGATTTTATAGAGTTTGATGTACAATATTTGTTAAAGAGTTCTTAATCATTTTTGTTAATCTGCGTTTTAAATATGACTATACACGAGTGAAAGTTCAGTTTTTGATGTTTCGATTAATTTTCTCTTGTGGTAGTTGCTTTAAACAGACTGAAATAGTCTTAAACTTTATCTGTATTTATAGTTGTTCACTTATGATACCAATGAATGTATGCAATTGTCACATCATTTTATTCACTAATTATGTATAATTCAGTTCTGATATGATATCAATGAAAGATATTGTACCGTTTTAAACAAATATCTCTGATTAAAGAGCAGTTGTAGCATTTACTAAGCGATACGCGTTTAAAATCTAACAATAAGCAATTTTTGCCAATATTGATAGCCAATTTTGTAGTTACGAGTAAGTCTTAACGTATTGATAGAAATTAACAGTTTTATATATATAAAAGAAAAATGTATTTAACAAAGTTTATATATTATGTTCTGTTAATCAGAGAATTTTATATTAGATACTAGAATTTAAGAAGTTTAAATTGCAACTTAATTCAGAACTGTATCAGTTCTTAGTTTGAATCTTCAAAATTTCATTCACATTTTCATTCCTGTTTGATTACTTGTAATTACGTTATTCATTAAATTCTTCGTCGACCATGTCACAACATGGCTGATAAAGAAACTTTCATTGCACAATATTTTACTGTTCTACTTAATAACGCTGCACAATGTTAAGTGTTCAAATAGACATTAAGTTTTATCTACTGTATTATCTTATTTTTATGGTGTTTCGGTTTATACGGTTACGGATGTACGACGGGTGAAATGCTATTGTATTATTGTATTTGATTAATATATGAAAATAGATTTTGTTATTAGATTTCATCTGCTTTTACCAAATGATACAGATTGCAAGTTCCACTTAATTGAGTTAAAATAACTGTCATGTATTAATGACATTGTTTTTTAGTTCTTGTTAACAAGCAAGTAAATACAAGTGAAAAATAAAGAGAGTTGAAAAAATCGTATTTTTTCTGTCTCTTGATCTACATTGTACTACGCTAAAATATACTTAATTAAATGGATTCACTTTATCAAATCTATCAGTTATAATTCGACTGCAACACTAGATAAGGATTTACCTAGATAAAAAGAATCTTCTCGAAACTACAGTTACGATGTTCTGTGTATACATAGTTACATGACGTTTACTGTCGTTCATTGTTCGATCAAATCAATTTCCTGTTTCCGATTCTGATTGATTACATGAAAACTGGGCGAGTCCTATTATCGAACTGGCTTAGATTTTGATGAACGTACGGAATGAAGAAAAAAACCACAAAGTGCTCTACCAAACGCAACGTTAAAAAAAGACAATACTGAAAATTCACGAATTTTAAATAGTGCATTATTACAATGCAACAGTCATCAATTGTTATCTCTTGGAAGTAAAGTAAAAGAAACAGAAAATAGTTCCTGATGCCATTACATCAGATGCAATCCTCAAAGTCAATTTTTGATTCCTATTATAACAGTATAGTCTTTGTAGACTAGGGTTCAAGGTATAAGATACTATTTTTGACATTTAAATCCTCAAAGAATTACCACAGCGATGTCGAAGAAACAGCGTAGGTCCGACGACTCAGATAGCACATAACGCCTTGAAGACGTCCATTTTACGGCTATTTTAGGTCTGAGACGCCTTTAAACCGTCATTAAGCCGTCTGTGTGCTATCTGGGCAGTCTCAATCGAAAATTTCTCTAAATCTTTCCTCAATCGCGAACCCGTTTAAATGTATTTTCAAGCCACGCGAAAAACTTCATTGGAGAATCATATGATCTCGCGCGTAATCGTGACCCGTCCGTGATATCCCAGCTTTTGCGAGATCGAATATCCAATTGTTCTTTCGTACTTCGTTCCACTGCCCCGTTTTGTTTCGTAAGAAATGTGTCAATATTGACGCGCTGGCATCCTGTAAGACGAGAACGATTTCCTGGTTAAAGCGAGCCGCCGGCTTTCGTGTCGCGCGACACTGATCTGCAAACGGATCGTGGTCTTCGTGGCTCGAGGTACGGGTTCTCCGGATGGACACATTTGACCGTCCCGCCGAAAACCGGAAGTGCCGTCGTCGATTTCGGTAACGCGTTGGCAACAACCGCCCAAGACGCGATCCAGATAGTTTTATCAGTCACGGTTACGCGATAAGCATAATATTAGCCCAGAGATAAAAACGAGGTGACCCGATCTGAAACGATCGAGGCCGCTTTTTTTTTCTTTTTCTTTTCCTTGTTGCCTTGTTAAGCGAATACGATTCCTCGAGATTATCTTAATGGAAATTGTCGATCTAGAAGCGCGATCGGGATTTTCGAAAAACCGTGGGGAACGATAACGATCGACGTGGACGCCTGATAACACCTGTTTCGTGAGTTACACGGAGCGATAGTTTCAGCGAAACGTACGAATTTGGACTGGGCGCTGAGGTGTTCAGTAACTGTTCAAGCATAAAACAATGGGACTGGATGAGTTGGAGGAATCTTGACGTGGACGAAATAACAGGTAATCGATGTTTGGGTATCGATATATGCTGTGTAGAATAATTGGAGTAATCTATTTTTTGGGGCGAAAATTCAGGAGGAAACGAATGAACCGTGATAAAGAATCGTGCGACGTCCTAAATCTGGACCATCTGAATGAATATCGAAGACTGAGATGTTTAAGTAGTATTTATTATATCGATATAATTATTAATCATTTCGAGGCCTATATACGTTAAAGTCACGTCGTATCAGAAGAATAGTTTTAACAAATTTAATCATTCAAGCGTTAATTCCGCCGGGAGCTTGTTAATTAAAGTATCGTGTAATTATGAATCGACTGTAAAATGGTTGGTTGGTCGAGGAACTGCCAGGTGAGACTCGTTATCGTTCGCTTCTGAACGGGAGTTAATTATTATTTTTTAATTATCGACGTACCTACGGTGAGACACCGAAATTACCGTGTGCGTGTCTTCGAAAACAACAATCATTAATTTAATTTTTAACAATGTATATACAACAAAGAACTACTTGCCGATTTATTTTCTAACATCGATAAAATTGATGTTAAGTGTTACTTCTCGATTATTCGGTTTTTTTCGCTATATGGATTTCATCCTACTTTATCGTTGCTTGGACGTTTTTTTTTTTAAACAAATCCCCGCGTTGAACTGTACCCGTTTGTTCTTCAATTAGCAACCGGCGGACTTTTTTACGTTACAGAGACTACCTCATTTGCACGGCCTACTTCTCGCGAAATTCCTGCTTCGTTATGCCTTTCGTTCATTTCTCTCTTTCATTTAAGGGTAGCGTGCCAATATTCTGCGATATAGGGCACACTTTGAACTCTTTGGCATCATTCAACACGAAACCGATCAATTACCACCCACGATATTAAGTGATTAGTTGGTAAATTATAAAAGAATCGGTCTGTAAAGAAATCAATAGGTACCGTATATACGGTCACGTGAATTACACTTGAGAGTCTCGAACCCAGAGACCTAGTCTCGTACATTTTCAATGCTACACACGTCTATGAAGAATCTTAATTTCAAAATCATTTTATTATCCGTTCGATGACCTTTCCGAGTCAGATACTATTTCTAATTTATTTTCAATTCGATCCAAAACTTTTTACCAATCAACATACATCTGATTTTGATTCTATCTCGGTAAATCAATCGAATAACTAAACGTGTCCTTTTTCGATTCATTATTCGCTGTTTTTTCCATCCAGACGAATAACTGTCCGGCATCTCTGACGTCAAGTCAACCAAGTCACTCCGCGTGCCCATTTTGCGTGCTTCCCGTCGATCCATTTTCCTCGCGCAGAACGAAATTAGGCATCCAAATATCCTGAACCGGATGAACGGTGCGCGTACCGGCGGCAATGCATACACGCCTGTTCCTCCTGGTTCCTCGTGTAAGTGTGCGTTTCTACGGTTCCCGTGTATGCAACCGCGCGTACGTGTCCCGCTTACTGATCAATTATTCCACCATGGTTTTTTTTCTCCCTCCTACGCCGATGGCTACGCTCGTCACGTGAATATACAAAATCGCCGTGGAAGAGAAGGAAGAAAACGGTAGCGCCCCGCGGGGACTTTCTCCGCGTACGTTCGTCGTTCTGTTTACTAATCCGTCATCGTTTTCTTTTATCTCTCCATCCCTTACACCCTTCCTCATTTTAACACGTCTGCCGCGATGGACACACGTTACCTTCTTCTTCCACTTATTCCGTTTAGTTCCATTTTCAAGAATTCCAATTACATAACGTTTGTGTCGGACGAGAAATAACAAATACAATTTTACAATGTATATATCTCGACCCCAGAATCAAAGTCTATTAAAGTCCACTTTTTTGGTCTAAAAATGATATTAAGTTCATATTTTTAAAACGGTGCAAAGCCATCCCATAGAGGAATTAATGTAAAGTTCTCCACTTTTACATATCTGGACCCCAGAGCCACACTAGTATATTAAGTCACACTTTTCAAGCTTTAGAGGAGAGCAAATCAAAGGTGCAAAAACCTTGTAACTTTGGAATCGTTCGATAAGAATTAAACGAGAAACAATGACAACGTACCTTCGAACTATTGAATGGATTTAAGACAAGTCTCTATATGTAAAAATGGTGAACTCTGCATTATTCCCCCACGTGATGAATTATACACTGTTTTAAAAATATGAACTTAACATTATTTTTAGACTGTTCGTACCTAAATTAAAAACTAGATGACTTAGAACGAAATAATTTTTACCATCGGAAAGAGTTGAAATATTTGAATACAGGAAACATGTAAAATGTCGTCTTTTTAAAAAATCGACTTAATACACTCTGGCTCTGGGGTCCAGATATATATACATATATACTATCGCTTGGTAAACGAGTTTACAGAATTACCTAATTATAGTAATAATTGCATGTTTTAAACTCCACGACTGATGGGTATACATATTGATCGCCGAAGGAAAAGGTCAGACTCGTGTAGATCGAAAACAACTTGGTACGCTGGTAGCCGGCTGTGTATAATACGCGTGTCCACGTTCACTACGTACGCGCAAGGTATAGGTACGAGTGTACGATGAGTATGATGTCACCGGTCCGAGAGGTTGGTATTTGGTACAGGGGAACGCGTGATTCGCATGAAAAGCTCGCTGGGACACGACAACGACGGCGGCTGTTCGTCGCACGATTTTGTCAGTCGGTTCTTCGCCATATCCGGTCAGCGTCGGATACACGCACGCGCGCTCTATGTCGCGCTGGCTACCGAGAACCGGAAGTCACGGAGACTTGGGGGGTTCCTTCGGAGCGTGCCCGCCCGGGCCTTTTGGCCGTGTGGACGCTTTCTATTTTCGTGTGAGTAGACTTTTTCGACCACTGCCAAACGTCCCACTTCCGGTTCGTACGCGGTTCAAACACCTCTGGGCGTTTACTATTATAATCTCGAAAATTTACCGTTAAAAAGAGTGTCAGAACCTGAATTCTGTGAGCAATGCCCCATCTGGCCCAACGTAAAATTAGAAGAGATAGAATCAATAATTGCAGCTGGTCCGATATGATTCCGGTGTTTATTTAGGGTATGATCTCGCTTAACTTGCCCGGGTTTGATACTAATCGGGTACTATTAATGTTAACCCCTTGCCTTATAACATCGAGCCAGACACGTGGTGACGATTTCGAACTGGATTTAATAAATATGTATATTGTACTATTTATTTTCTTTGAATCGAAGTGAAACTCTTTTAAATTGATATTAATATTTCAGATTTAGAGTAAATGTTACACTTGCCCTGAGAATAAAATTCCTTTTGTATCTGGGAAATTATTAGCGATAACGGAATGCTTGAGAGTACAGTCGTCAAACAAATCGTAAGGCAAGGGGATACTTTTCAAGGAAAAATTACGAACACAATTAGTCTGTACGATCCAAATTATAATTTCTATTTCAGAGATATCAACTGGACCGCCAGAATCAATCGTTAGCGCGCGTGCTATAGTTTACACCGAGACTAAACAGGTGTTATGTGCCAGGATGGAAGGATTCTCATTAACGCCTCACCGACCGGAAGGTGGTAACGCGTTAAAACCGACAATACGAAGACCGGGAAGAACAGAAAGCGACTCGAGGTGGCGAGAAGAAGAGGTAAGAAGCGAACGGAATCGGTCCCCAACCAATGGAACAAGAAACCAGGGGAGCCTTCATCCCCTCTCGAGTGGCTGGTCCGCTCTTCTCCACATCCGGCGTCGTTCACCGATGTCTTCGGTGCCGTGACGCCCACGCAATCAGTTATTTGGCGAGCCTCCATCCTCGTACAGGTGTCTTTCGAGTTACTCGTCCGATCTACGACTTTCCGTTAGTTCAGAAACGTTCGGTGACACGGAATAACAGCTCCGCGAAGAACATTAAAGGAGAATAGTTTCCATTTTGGAGATATTTATGGTACGTTTCTACATGGTTGTCCAATTTCTTTGAAGTTTCAGACGGAAAGAGTTTACCGTCCGCAATCAGTGTGAGTAACATTCGATGCAAAAATCGACAAATATGTATCACTATTGTTTTATCTTGGATTCTTAACGTGATTCCGTAGAATATTTCTTATATATCTATGTTGGTGACTTTCCGTGCTTTTTTCGTCTTCCTTAGTACTGTGATCATCGAGATAAATTCCATTTACTCAGTTGTGTCTTTCAAGCTTTCCAGCAACAGTCTTCAATTTTTAAAAGAAGATTCGTTGGATGTCTAAGGAGAATAAATAATTGATTATTTTTCACAATCACTTGCATTCACCTGGGCGCCCCGAAGGCAAGATGTCGGCATAGCTGATGTTTTCGAAAATTCGGCTGTGTCACATCCAGCCAGCAGAACGTCCAGACATCCACGCAAGCTTCGGTATCCTCGATAGTGCGTACTGTATTTGACCATCACGTCGACGAACTCCGTTATAGAACTACAGCGGAAAGAACTCTAAAGATAAGGAACCGGTATGTTGTCATGATAAAATTCTCTATAATTAGCAAATCTTTGCCATTGCTACTCACACCGTGTGAGAACTGCACGTCCCTGTTCCGACTAAACATTCATCAAGCTTCGTTTCATTTTATAGATCAATTTTCATAGATCAAATACGAAAGCTGGAAGGGCAACACAAAACAGATCGGAAATGTAACGCGTATCATGTGTATTCGAATTGCATTCTGATGATGTTAATCGTTATGGAAAACTCTTCTGTTAAAATTAAAGGAATTTATTTTTCAGTAATTGGACATTGTTCGTTCAGACTGGAGAACTCGGTGTGAAAAGTAACGACGAGGATTTTTATAAATTTCCAACGAATCGTATGCTGTACACGTAATTTTTGACCGAACTTCTACCGGATGTGATGCCGTCTACAATGGAAAGCGTCGTAACGTGCTGCGCACGCTAATTAATGCATTAGAAGGACTATCCTTTCGACCCGTCGCCGTTTTAATCCCAAATCTCTTCCACTAAGAACGGGTAAACGCTTCGAAATCGTAAAAACTGTTTCTATTTCTTATTTTTTTCTGTCTATTATACTATAATTATTATATTGCGTTTGCATGCTTGTGCAAATTTCCATTCTCATAGACTGATTTATGAACAACCGAATTGAAGGTTAATTTATATCACTGATTAAGAAATTTACTAAGGTAGAATTAAAATCGGAAACTTGTTAATTTTTGTTAAAGCCGTGGTCTCATCAAATTTTATATCACATAGTCAAATAGTTATTTTAAATTGTTTTTGACTCTGCACTAGGGGAACCCGCTAACGGAGCTGTAAGTTGGGTTGCATAACACCAGGGATGAACGTACTAAATTGCGTAAAAATCCTGAGTCACAGCAAAAATGGATTAGATAAGCATTCAATTATACGAACAGAATTTGTAACAAAAATTCTACTTATATCTTTTTTTACATCAAAAATGATATATACATGTAAGGACAATTCTAAACAATGAATTATGTAGACATTTTTTCTGTCTAATAAATGACTGGCAGACAGAACATATGTAGCAAAGGAAAAGTTTTTACAAAGAAATAGGTAGATTTAGTTTCATGTTGAATGTAAAAGCAGGAATAGATAGCTCACAGAATAATTAAAAAGATACATATGTATTGTGTAAATAAAAAGTAAAAAAGAAATTCGCATTTACGATGCATTTTTTCGTTTGCATTATTCCCGTTAGAGGTCGCAACACGCGTGAAATATAACGTGCTGTGTAAGTATGCGACAAGATAGGTTATGTCACAGAAGGTGTAAAAAAGAAGGCTATTCAATCACAACCGTATCAAAGCAATACTATGGGAGGATCACGACAAATATTTTAGCCAGTTCGTGTAATATGTGATCGATGTATATAAAGCATAAATTAGATAGCTATCGGGAAAGTACTTCCCCTCGATATCTGACGAATCCAGTGAAGAGGTTATGTTATTAAACTGGCCGTCAAAACGTTTTTCTGTCATTCTGTCCACTTCGTTGCTCATGCTATGCGTCCTCGATCAAAATGAACAATTCGAATAACAAAGAAACCATAAATCTTCTCGATTTGCTGTCGGATAGCGATACTGACGTATCAGATTTAGTGCTTACACCTAAGAAGAAAAAAGTAAAACGGTAATTCTTATTTTATTTGTATCATAGTTTCATCTGCTTGATATTAGTCAAAATCACTTAAAAAAAACTTACTTTACATTAAAGGAAACATAGAAGAGGAAATACTGTCAAAATGAAGGAGGGCTATACCTGTGGCTGTGAAAAGTCTGATTTGAGAATTATATCATTGTGGTTGACAGCATTATTAATTACGTTCTGGTTGATAGCATTGTCCTGGCTGGCTGTCGTTTTATATGGGGAACTTAAAAGAATGGACATTTCTATAAAATCAGGTAAATAGATTACTACGACTATGTATGTTTGTAGTGTTAAGACAAATTAACATTAGCTTGCATCTGTTGTTTTCTTTGATTTATTGAAAAAGAGGCATCCAACTCGATTTGCGCTATTTTTATTCTGGAACTAATAACAGGACGAATTTAATAACATTATGACAAAAAATATATCTATATTTAAAAGTAAACGTTTATTTAGTACATTTGCTGATTTTTATTTTATATTCAGTGGTAAGTAATAAGAAACTATTATTGTATAAAAAGCTAAACGTTTGTACATTTCGTGCGATCAAACTAAAATAGATACAACATCCTTGAACCTTCAATATATAAGTATATATTTCCGGTATCGCTAACTGCGTTATAAATAGAATATTTTGAATCTGTCAGGTCTATGTATGGAAATGTAGTAGGATATCTACATCAATAAATTCGACCGCTTTATATACTACATAAAATTCGAAAATAATATAATTCTAAGACGAATGCAATTTTAAATTCAAAATTCGATTAATTGCATAATAACGATAGTTCGTATTCTCGATCGTTCCGATTACTTATCGGCGTTTCTCGAACTCGATCGTTCACACAATATTATCAAGTTATCGCATTCTCGATGTTTTTATCGATAACCGAATTCCGGGTAATTTAAACGAATTTCAATGTAGTACACACACACGATAACACTTTTTTAGCCTTTATAATTTAGGAAGATTGAATACCTATTATCTTCAGGATAACATTCACTCGTCAATAATTCATTCTATTCCACTACTTTATGCTCAATGAATCACGGGAACCCCTAGCAGTAGATAGCCCGCATGTCTCGGCCGCGTACCAACCCCCGTTCAGTCGATATCTGGCGCACGCCGCGAGTGGAACGCAGTAAAAGCTCAGACGACGGTGTCCGTGTTCTCTGTTCTCGTTGTAAAACACGTCAAAAAGACGACACGCTGATCAAAAAAAAAATCCACGACACCCCGATCCCGACGTCCCGTGTAAATTCGGTTCCCGTGTGTTTCTCGCTCGATAATAGACACGTTTCGCGTCCTCGTCGAGGACACCAATCGATCGTTGTATATAATTTACCCTCGACTTGGGTCAAGTTCCGCATGCACGAAGACCGTCGTCGATTAACTGTTCGGTGGCCGACAGGTGTGCACGGTTTTTAGCCATCGATTCCCGATCAGCCGAGCATAAGGAACACGTAAAAGTGTCCCTAATGGACTGCCGTTATACACTTGGAGGTAACAATATAGCAAATCAAATGAGATCGTAAACAGTAGGCTCACTTGTGGAACTGGCCCAAGTAAGGGGCCTAGGATTGTTTCCTTTAATAACTGAAAAATTTGCAAAGTTTAGGTTATAGAGAAGTTCATTCAAAAGGAAGTTGGATACCATAGTATTGGACAAATATTTACTGACTTAATACCCTTTGTTGATGACCGGGCTCAAACCAGTCTAAATGGCCCTGCTGGGTTAATTATTTTGCTGTATCGTTATCTTAAAGTATTGTAATACAATATACACTTGCCGATACAAATATAATCACTTCTTACTGCAAAAGATATTCTGTTTCCAATAAGAATTCATATTCTTTTGAAATTAATTTAGGAGAGCTACAACGTTAGGTAAACGTTAGTAAAAATTAGGGAATACGATGTTTGTATGATAGTGACACGATAATGATTTTCGACTTATTTTTCCGTTTTCGTAAAAAAACACCCTCTTATCTGTTTTTGTTCCACAAAGTTGTACGGAACGATAGCCGGTGTGAAGGGGTGGAGATGCGGAAAGGGTTGCTCGATGTGCGGGAATTTCTCCTTTGTTCTTCAGTAATACAAAGTGTGGTAAATAATTTGCTTTTGGGGGGGAACTGTGGTTACGTCAACCGGGAAATCAACCCTAGTCTGTGATTGCATTTCGTGAGTGGTTACTTCGATGTGTTATTTTTTTTTTATGTGAATTGACTGATGTTAAACGACTGTGTCAGGTGGAAGACAATGTTTTTAAAATACATCTCCTAACGGAATTTGTTTTGGAAATGAATAAGTTCCACTTTCTTGTGTATTGTAATTAGAATACCTTGCTTTAAAGATATTTAACCGTGGTAGGCCAAGTCAGTTTTGTTGATTGAGTAATTAGGGAGAAAATAGTTACCGAAATTTAATCCATGGTAGTTGTTATATTGTAACGTGTAATTTGAGAAGGATTGCTATTGAAGATCAATTATTGTCAGTTAACCTCTGTATGATTATAAAAGTTTATTCCTTTTTAATATTTCAATACTTCATAACTGCTGCGTATTTATAGCCTCACGACTGATTTACAAGTCTTCTAATTATACAGGTCAATTTGACAAAAAAAAATGTAATCACATTGATTTACGCGGAAATCGTCGATGGCTTATTAAAATTAATAACGCGAACGAGATTAAAGCGGAGAAAAACAGTTACCGCGAATACCGATGCACGCGTGAAATATACAGAATGTCCAATGCAAGATCATTTTTTGTGTTCAAAAGAAATATAAAAAGGATTCTATGTCGGATTTTATGATCACACGTATATAACCGACGATTAACAAAAACCGACCATTAACATTCAAATTGAGCAAAGAGTTTCTGTTTAAAAGAAAATTCAGTTACAACTGGATATTCACGTAACATACGAGAAATAACTTCGTCATCATAGAGATCGCGATTAAGAACGACCAGCTCGGTAATCCAGCAATCATTTCTGTCAGGGATTACGTTACTGTATCGAGAGCACAGTGAGACGTCAAAATCGGGGGAAAAAATATTGCATCGATGTTGCTATCCATCAAGTTCATTTCGCAACGTCGTTCTCGATTTTTAGTAAACAACGCCTTGCCTTATAATATCGAGTCCAACTCGTGGTGACGGTTTCAGTATGGGATCCAACAAACATGAATGTTATTAGTTTTCTTTGAGTCGAAATGAAATACTATTTTGTTGGTATTCATATTCAACATTCATGATAAACGTACACTTCTGATAAGTATACAGTTCTTTTGTTTCTGAGGAACTAGTAACGATAAAGTAATTTTGAAGACCCGTAGATGTCAGGAAAATCGTAGGGCAAGGGGTTCATAGTACGTCGAAGAAATGGTCGACGACAATTAATTGGAATCTTCTCTTTCAATGAAAACTCATATCGAACGCGCAGCAACAGCGTTCCCGTGAATTTCGTATTGTTTTCAATTCCGATATCTTATCAAACCTGCAGCCATGTTGACACTGACGCCGGTGTAATCCCCTTTATTGACGATACTCGGTGTCTCGAAACGATTAAGTCTTTTTAAATTGAAACAGACATCATACCTTATCGTCGCCCCTATTTCTCTTCGACGATCGGTTCTAGGTCAAAATGTATTTTTCTTCGGCGGAAACAACGGGACAAATACGATAACACGCACAAATTTGCTTTGTAAACTAGCTGTTTTATCGTTATTACTGCGCGGTACAAAGCAATTAGGGGCATCAGACTCGTGAGTCGATAGTATTCCTCCTTTATTTTCAATCAGGAAATTCGGTACCGTTTCGTTACGGTACAAACAAATTTTATATGGTCCAATAACAGCCGAAATTTGAAAACACGATACTTTTAATCAATCTTGTACACTGTCATTGAATATTGAATTGGTGCAAACGATCCATTGGATTCGAATGAAAGACTAACGATTGTTCCCAAGACTTTCGCGTGTATTACGTGAGCAACTACAGAGTGCCCTCTAAACGATGACACATCATCAAGAAATGAATTGCCATCTTGTGTGAACATTATAAAAAAAAAGGAAGAATATCAATGGGACCTTCGAACTATTTAGATTACGAACAATTTGTTATAAAAACAGAAGCAAACCCGCTGATCGCTAAAACTAGTCGTCACGTATTTGCTACTAAAAATCCAACAATGATTCCGCACTGACACAGCTCCGCGTAAACTCAGTGAAAACGCGCAGGTATCAAAGGGTTTGCTGATCACGCAGGGTTCACAGAAACAGTCGAGCTGTTAATCCCAGGACAATGATCGCCACTGCCTCGACAGCATTGTTTGCCACGAGTATATACGCACACTTGTGCACTTCCTTCAGCCTACGTAGTCACGCGCGTTCAAGCTGCCTGTGTCTCCGAATCGTTTGCGTTAGTTACACAGTAACAAGAAAAAAAAAATATACCGAGAAGGAAGGAAGAACGATGCGTTGCGCGTGAAACAGCGCGCGCTACCTGTAGCGTGTTGTCAGGTGTCGGTCGGACGATTGATAAGAGCCCCAGTTGCGTGCCGTTTCGCGACCAAGCTCGTTTCGTGACGCGTTTTCGTGGCGAACATTCACGCTCGTCGTCTCTTCGAACTCGGTTCCGCGGCCTTGACAGTGATTCTCTCCTCTTGTTTTGCAATCTCGAGACAGTACGACTCCGCGAAAAGATTTGTGTCACGTGGAACGTCTGAAGGAATCGGTATCGAAATCGTCTATATAGACAGATTGCAACGGGTCTGATTCTGTTTTGGTTTTTTGTCTGCGACACCCACACGCTTCTGGTATTCTTGTAGTAGTGCTCGCTCGAGTATCATCCAACTCCCTCTTTCTCCTTATCAGAACGCCTCGACCACCTTGAACAACTTATGGTCATACACTTGAATCGACTGGAATCGTAGGAGCCGCGTTATCACTGCTTGTTACCGTTATTTTTTTTTTTGTTTAAGTACCTATATCTTTCAGCGAGTAGTCTGGTTAACTGAAACATGAACAGTATTAACATCGAGGTACGTTTGGCGGAACCTTTTGCAGTCCGGAGTTTACTGCGGCGATAAGATTATAACGAGGATTGTTTTCTATTTTCATTCCGAGTGACATATCTAGTTTCGAATAAAACTAAATAAAGGGCGTGTTTGATTTTCGAATATGTTTCGGTGACGTTGCTTCATTGGAGTTCATCTAGGAGTGGACTATCCAACTTAATGTCGATCGCATACTATGATAAGTGAAGATCAGATTAAGGCTTAATCATTGAGCTGTTCGATCGAGGAAGGTGTGTTAAATTCTAAAGACTCAGTAGGAGAGTTTGATTGCTCAGTGTAGTGGAGAATACAATGAAGAGATGGGATTTTCGCATCAGGTAATCCGAGTGGGCGTCTCATAAGATTGTATTTCTGGGTTAAATTTATTAAAGTATCTACCACAGATTGCGATCATCCGGGTACTTTAAATAGTTCGATCCTCTAGATACTTCAAGCGGTTTAAATTAAGCTCATCGCTCAGATGTGCTCAACGGTAGCGAAATAGTGAGAGATACTAAACCCAGCACGGTCATAAACAGAATCAACCTTAAGCTAAAACTTTGCCCGACCACGATCATATCCTCCTAAGACTGCAATCTTGATTTTCTGTAAACTCCTACTACGCCAGACCTTCATCAAGTGCTTCAATTTACATCCTCGTTAAGTATACCATCTTATCGTCGATTCAAAATACCCTCAGGAGTGTAACTTGTAGCCATAGTTCAGGCACCTTCATACTATCTTCTATAATCCAAGCAATCAACGCCCAAAGAGAATCAGTCCAGTTCCATCCTTAACCTCTCAAACGCCTGATCCCCAGGCTCCCATACATGATACGATTTATCGTACAAGTCAGGTTGTTGGCCAGACGGTTAGGATGACAGATTTTTAGCCTGTCGTGTATTGTCCACAAGTCACACGCCCGCGCCACAAACGCTCTCGTTCAGACGGTCGAACCTACCTAGGTTGTACAATTAGTTGTACGATAGATCGTATCGTCTAACGGGGGCGTGTTTAACGTAGCTCTACCGTTTTAGTGAGAAACCGATAATACCGGAGCCATGTGAACAAGAGGAAACGGCGAAAGTGTGTGTATATGTGGCCGCGGAAATCGTTGACGAGTTGGGGGGGCCGCCGGTGATACCCGCGTATCGGTGACGTAAATGAGAAGGGTGGCGAGAAGTGGCCGTTTTTCGACCGCGGAAATGAACCTGCCGGGTGTACACGGGCCTCGAACAGTAGGCGACAGTGCACGACAGTGCTAGGGCTGCTCCCGGAAAAAGAAGGGCGAGGGGAGAGACCGATACACGATCGGAGAAGGGTTCTCGCCACGAACGACCGGGCCGGGAGCACCGTTCGCGAAGATAGGCGGCCCGGTGTTGCTTGAGATGGACTCGGTCGCGGTGACGGTGCCTCTTCGTCAACCGACGAAAAAGATGAAGAAACGGAAGGAGCTCGACGCGCTCGCGCCCCCACACACTGTCTCCCGCCGGAGTTCCGGAAAGCGTAGCTCCCAAGTACGTATCTCGTACACTCCCCCTTTATCGATTGACCCCACGTGGAACACGCGTATTACTACGGTTCACTCATCCCCCGTTTCCCATCACCCCCTCCGGTCGGATCGACGATCATCATCTACCTACCACCGGCCATGAGTATTTTGGACACACGGTGGGACCTGAAACAACAACCTTTTAACGGATATAATAACGTGAAACTTATGTCCGAAATGCAATCGACACTGATCGATTATTGGTGTGTTAATTATTGGCATTATGGAATTATTAAGATATATTATTCTACGGTTGCAAAAGTGGCTTTTTCTGTATTGTTAGCACTCTACGGTTTTTAGTTGTTTCAGAATTTAGTACCTTTCAGAACCTAGTTTGTTTTCTTTTGTGTCGTAGTGGTACCTGTTTATTGCTACAGATGTCCGTACTCCTGAATTCGGTAACCGTATATCGGCCTGTTAGAGATCGAAATATTTACTTCGAAATGGTACCGTGTATTCTACGTACTCTCTGGTACGAGTGTCCAAATACTTATGTACGGTGGTGTATGTTCTAGAAAAATAGTTTTTTTTTATCGTTTTATACAAATCGTTTCATATGAAACAGCTTTTTCCCACCCTTTTTTTAAATCGCGTATGGACTTCAGGTTGTAATGTATGAAGTGCAGAATATGCACAAGCAGTGAGTTTCAGACGATTATAGTTTTTCCAGAAATATCAACGATGACAAAAAAAGGCTATTATTAGGTGTAGAGATTAATTCGTGGTCTTCTTGTCATAGATTTGTTATTTATTTACAAAAAAAAGAAAATACAGTCTAGTCTGGAAAATATTCCTCATTCTACACATAAACGCCATTTCTCAGGCGGTTACTTAATCAATACCTTCTCGAAAAAATGATGGTGGTTTTGAGTCAATAATTAATTGCAGGAGGTCACGAATTAATTTGTACACCTAATATATAGTTTCTTAAAATACCACTTACTTGGTAGCACAGTCGAGAGCAGTAATGTCTCCCACGTGAAGTCCCAGAATTTTTCTGCTTCCGAAGCGCTGCGTTCCTCTTCTTATTCCACCTGGATTCGCACTGAACAGACCGACGAAGATGAACCGGTGTGCCCCTGAAATATTCGAGAAAAATAATATTTGTGTATACCAAGAACGTGTCGTAAATTAATTCTGTATGATTACGACTGACCCAAACCCAGGTCCCTTTTCACGTATACATATATACCCCTGAAGTAATGTTTGTAAACAATGTTCTGGGGGGTGTTGTGGGTTGGATAAATGGTTTTAAAAAAAGGATCCCTTTTCAAGTGGAACTCTGAAAGCTGGATTCTCGATTGGCTGTTGACCTCCGAGGAAATATTCTTTAAAGGAACCATTGCATGGACAATGCAAATATCGCGGTATATGTATACAATCTTCACTAAAGAATATTTTGACGGTGGCTAGCAGTAATCGGAGTTTACCGTAAAAGTTCACGGACAGGCCGGAAACCATAAGCTTTTATGGGGGTCCTATTGTATTTAATTTTTCTGTTGTCTTACACTAACTTAATAGACATATACTACGAATTTATATGACGTTAATAGTCTTGAGAAACTTTTACTTTCGTAAATGACAGGTTTTGTACTAATTAGAACCATATGTTTATTTAAACAAAAAAACCAAATGATCGAGTTATTTTTAGTCCTATTTGTCGAAAAAGGGTATTTACTATTATTAGAGATCGAAGAATAAACGGTGCTCTCTCGAAGAACGGTCGATATTAATTAACAGAAACAGTTAATTCGCCTATTTAGTTCCTTTTTAATCGTGTAATCCCCCGGCCCTATTAATCCGTTTCGTTTCGAGAAGCATTTTATACATTACAACCGTGTGTAACGCACTAACATCGCGACTGAAAGAGATTAAAACATAAAATTGATCTTAAGCGTCGATGAAAGAAGAGGGGTCCGACACTTACGTTTGCCTAAATTTTTAGGAGTTACTATCAGATAGCAGCGACGAACGATCGGAATACTGGAATGTATCGACTAGAAATGGCCGCAAATGCAGAGGCAGACGAAGTCGAGGTTGTCCCGGATTTTTTAAAGCTTGTAGTGCCTTTCTGGCTTGCGCCTCTGTATTAGCAACCGCTAGTTTAATTTGGCTGTTCATCGATGTTCGTCAGCAACTCACTGCACTTCGGACCGAACTGGACCAAGGTATTCACATCGAATCTGTCTCTGTGGTCGAAAAGAGAAGTTTTATCGGCACGAATGAAATGAAAAAAAAAAAAAAAGAAGAAATTGAAATCGATTCCTCGTTATGAGTTCCAGAATAGATACGCGCGTACACGGGCAAACGATCAACGTTGTGTCTTTGTCTTTTTTTAGCCGTTTATGCCACTTTACCGTTCACAAATACTTGTAAGATCATTAGGTAATCTGCTTACAAGGCGCCGATTTCCGCGTTTTCAACACGCTTACCAGCGAAGATCGTGAGCCCGATGTATTAACAATTAGATTACGAACATCTTGATTAATTGTTTACTGTCGAATGACTGAGCCTCTAGGACTGAGAATGATCCAAACCTATTTCGATTTTGATGCAGAGTCGACTGGAAACTGTTAGCAGAGTGCATACTCTAATCGAATACAAACTTTTAACACAAATTTCGCCCAGGTTCGAGGCATGTTCATTCTCAGGACCTCAGTTAAAATCTAGTGAATTTAATAAAGCATGGAGATATTACCGGTTAAGAAAAGCATACAATTCAAAGAGATTATCGAATATTTTGATGCTTGTTTAAGATCCTAGTCATCTTTATGGTTCACTCGTTTTATCGTTTTATAAGAAAATCTTCTTGTATGTTGCAGTGATAGCCGGTAACGAAGGAGTACCAGACGCTCTACAGAAATGCCACTCTCTATCGAGAGACCTCCAGAACAACCAGACCATTATCTTCTCTCAGTTATCCGATCTCAAGCTTCAAGTCAATAATTTTACTACACAGGTAAGATTCCCTATGTCATTGAATGCTCGATTTGTTTAGTCTTTATACTCGCATCACTGCAGACATCATATCATAGTATCAACAATGGGGACGTTAAATCCACGGAATGCTGTACATAGGGGACGTTAAATCCACTTTTGTATACTTCTGTGTAGAGAAAACGCTTCTTGTAAAATACTTTATACAAAAAGAAAACAAATGATCAAATCTAAAGACGCTGACTCGACTTTCAGTTAGCCGTTATCCAACGTGACCTGCATCGGGTAGAGGAGTGGTTCAAAGCTGGGCTCGAACCCACGGACTTGAAGGCACTTTCGAGTAGTGTGGTGTCGTTTGGCAGCCAAATACAAGACCTAAGCGCCACGGTGAAGTCCCTAAAGGAGTCGAACGCGAGGGTGCAAGATGCTCAGACCACTATGCAGCAGAATATCACCAGCATCAAGGTCGATCTGGAAACCATACACCCGTAAATGTTTCTTTCAATAAATACATTTCCAGTGAATGACTTCTCTTCTCTTGCATTGCAGAACGCTATAACAGAGATGTCCAACGTCACCCAGAGACCTCAAATCGTGACCACGAACGAAACGAAGATAAGAACTGATGAACTGAACGCGGCCATATTACGTTTGACGACCAATTTGATTCACGTGAACGAAAGCCTGACAAGAGCGGTGCAGTGGGTCGCGGAGGATCAAAAGAAAGATCATGTAAATATTAAGCGATCTACAGCAACGTGCCTGAACTAATGTGTCGAAACATTTATGGCATATGTTAGAACAGAAAAGTAACAAATGTTCTGAAAGATAGTAAGACATTTGAGAATTGTTAATTTTTTTCAGGAAACCCTGGTGTTGCTTCAGGAGACCTCACAGAACGTTAGCATGAAGGTGATATCTCTGGAGACGGAGTGCGTCAAGACCACTGTCTTAGCTTCTGTTAAAAAATTGAACGATCAAGTGCGTGCTAGTTCCAATACTATCGTTCTGTCAGGTATTTTGGTACATATTCTAATCGATGGCAAACTGTACAGGTCGCCGAGATTTACGTAGTTCACGCAGATCTCAACGACAGGGTGAAGCATTTGGAACAATCGTATGGCACCCTAAGGAATTCGACGAGCGTAATGCTAGCTGGAATACCAGACATACAGGGACCGAAACCGCACAACGCAAAGGATTTGAAAGAATCGATCGTTGGAGACACGACGACTGAACAGATTCGTAGTGGGTTAGGTGAGTTAATTCGAAAAGTAAATGTCTGGTTGGTCAGACGAGTGAACAAATATTTAACTTCTCCGTTAAAAGACAGACATCGATCACGCTTACGGAGGTACTAAGTACACTTTGTCCTTAGTGTGCGCTGTCCTGAAACAGATCATATGAAACCATACGTGTTACGGATAATGAAGTTCTTTCAATCGAGAAGTCGGAATCTTATGCTAAATAATACTAAGATTTTATTTTATTCTGCAGCCTTGGATGATATATCTGCGAGGAAACCATTGCCGGATAAACAGAAACGTTCAATAGGAACCCCGTAATATATTCCAGCGGTAAATGGACGAAGTTTCGCTTTGTACAGTTACAGTGGTTCTGTTTCCAAAGTACCAGGAAGTGTGTATTTGTAAATACAAATAAATTAAGTATGTTGAAAATTCCATGTATATAGAAAGGTAAAATATTTATACCCTGGATCATGTTACTCACTTTCCATCCAAATAATCGACACGATTATTCGGCGAAAGCGCGTGTATGCGACCGAACATGACCTAGGGAACGCTACTTATAACGAGCAATAACGTATACGTTGATCTACCAACACTGAAATCGAATACTGTGTATTTGAAGCGTGTATTTTCGAGAAATGAATGCTAGTCGGAGGATGCCACGGCTGTATGAAACTACCTGAATGTTTCAGATATACCATCGAAAAGTACAAAGAGCGTTTACACTTGTCCCTTTACAAAGACGAAATTTCGCGTCGTTCGAGGCTCGCCCGATGTGTAATCGCGACAAATTTTTTCTACTCTTCTACCATTTGTAGCACACTTGTAGTCCACGAATTTGCCAAAACGTCCTGGTAACGTTAGAGGAAAAACCAGATTTTTGCTAAATTTGAAATCATGGAACTTACTTTTCATCTTTATTCGTAGGACAGTTATATGAAGCTTGAGTTCTCAAGTGAAATTCTTTTTCCATATTGCTTTCTTTTTTTTTTTCACTGAAAGACAACGAAATACGTTTTGATTTCTTTGTCCTCCTGTGCAGATTGATCTATCACAATGTACACATGGATGTACTTTGAAAAATACATGGAACTGAAGAAAGTGAACATCGTTAAGAGAAGTCAAGGTTGTTTCAGAGTCTCTTATCTCAGTGTCAAGTGTCAGATATTAGGAAAAGAATAAAAAAAACATAAATGGGTTTGAGAGGACCTTGACTGTAGCATTTAGTGGTGGAATTAAACCATATTTTTCAGTTTCTTCGGCTAAATGTATTTTTGAAGACACATTATGTATGGAAGGAAAGTGGGAATTGTATAATTGAATTCAAATCTACTGTATTCCGTAAGAGGTTCATAATTAGCATGATTATCATTTAGATATGCTCTAATATTGGTTGCATTATATAAGTAAAGGATGCACATTGATTTTTTCTATGTCTTTTGCTTGAATATGTTATATAACGGTTACGAGTGTAATCGTCGAGTGAATTGTAGCTATTACGGATATATTTAAAAAAAACGTACGTCCATTCTAGCGAGAAATGAAAAATTGTATTTGCAGGGGAAACAAGGGCAGCGATTATGGGTATTAATCAACGGACTACGAGAAGAATATTACATGAAATTATATGAATTTATAAATGGGGATTGCGAAGTGAAGAAATAAAAAGAATGGCACAGTCAGCGTGTGAATAAAGAATGTTCAAATTTAATTATCCAGTTCTCTTTCTCTTACCTGTAGTCGACACATGTGGTCCAGTAGCATTTTGTAATTCAAAAGCGAGGATAGGCGTAGCATTATCGTTATTAACGGTATTCGCAAACTTTTGTATATTTAGCTGTAATAACAACCACTTTTAACACTCGTGTAATCTTCCAATACCACTTTAAACCAACTAGAACGAGGAACTTCTAACTTTGGCGGGGTCTTGAGTGGCCATCTTGTCAGAAAAACCGTTGAAAATTGAAGTCAGTGATCTGTCATTATTACATTCGAATTAAATTAATACATCTGATTTTAAAATAATTAATCGTCACTTTTTCGATCAACGTCGTACAAATTATTCCAGAATTTGTATAACCACAAATTAAATTGATGATGAGATCGAGGGACGTTCATTTGACTACTAATCACCTTTCAAGTACTCTGAATGGACGACCGTTTGAATTTAAATTCTTATAAATCAATTTTTGAAAACAAGAAATATGCAACAACAGATTTGCTGTATCAATGGTTTTATGAAATTAAAAATAAATTAATTGTGCTGACAGTCTCTATATTGTCCTTTGTACATTCGAGTATGCTATAAGCGCATAAAGTATATACAGTTTAATCATAACTATAACGAGAAGAAAAACCGGGAAATAAGTCCTAAAGCAAAGATTACATTAGTAAAAGTAATTTTAAAAAATAACTTTTGTTATACCTTGATGAGCACAAAAAGGTAACGGTGAACCAGGTCCTGCTAATGTTCGAATTTCAACGCGAGACCCGTCATGTATCCGCTGGCCAGCAAATGGAACATGTCTTTTTACGTGATATGCGCGGAAATAATAGAAGATTATGGAAATTGATAAGCATTCGGGCTCGTAAACCGGAACGAGGCATCACCAGTTCAATAAAATTGTAAACAAGTGTTATGTCGTTGTTGCCCCCGCTGGGTAACTATTGCGTAGCGCTGCGTTTGACATCTGCGCATATCTCACGCTGGTACTGAGGAAAAATCAAAACAATCAATATGGCGGACCCAAGCAACGAAGCTGCATCATCGAGTAGCGTTACGGAGCAAGCCCCGACGGCCACTCCAATTCGCGATGATCTCGAGAAAATCGAAGATTTCCTCGAACCAGACAAAAAGCGTCGTAAAGCGTCGCGGAACGATGGGAAAACCGAGCAAAAGTTGGAGCATCGTCTGGGCGGCATCCTCTGTTGCGCAGTTTGCCTCGATCTGCCCAAGGCAGCCGTCTACCAGGTAAGTCTATAAATTATCCTTCACCCTGATCATTTATTTTCCATCATTCGTTAAATGTCAATTCGATTGAACGATAATTTACGAATGAACGCTCTGTCTATCGGGAATTCCTAGTGATCATGTCCATTGTTACGACGATGGTCCCTTTCCATCCGACATTTTCATCCGAGGTCGATGAGCTACTTTCTCGTTGTTCTGTTGCGGACACGTACATATAAATATAATACACGTATAGACAAGTTATTACATAAAATGGATTGCACACTGTGCATCATCATAATTCCTCAACGATCCCCCGTTTGCTGTTGTCTTTTGTTGTTTTCGACTGTTACTCTTTGACAGTGGTAAATCTTGACATTGAAATTTATATATAGGCGAACACATTCCGCGTGAAAATACCTGATTGCAGATCGTATGCACTTATTTAAAATATCTCTTATATTATTTTCGTTATATTGAAATCTTTCATAAAATGCAATTTCTGTGTTCCCTATTTTTGAAAATTACTCAATTAGGGTATGAATTGGCATAAAAATCTGCAATCGAATTATGATATACTATCCTGTACTATGATTGAGTACAAATTTGGATCATATTATAATTAAGTTGAATTTTTTATCAATTAACAATGGTTATTAATAATGTGTTTCTATGTTGAATTCTTTCTCTCTCACTCTGCCCATTTTTCTTATCTTTCTTTTCTCTTTACAGTTACAACATGATTTTTAAATAGTTTGTCCTTTTATTTTTCTAGTGTTACAAGGAGATAAGTTTTAATTGTATTCATATAAGTATCTTAGAGAAATTTAAAGAAAAGAAAAAGATATGTGTACATATTCATTATTGATATTGTTTCTTTTAAGATAGTAATAATATAAATGCAGGTAGGTACCTATATGTTCTTTTAGTGAAAATATTTACAAAGGAATATTCAATTTTGTTTAATATGAATACTAACTTTAATGAGTATCTTATGTTGTTGAATGTATTTAAGAAATTCAGAGTTCTTAACTTAAAATAAAAATACATTCTCATATATAGTATGCTTTACAAAAGAAATTTTTAAAGTATATTTTTGAAATATACCACTCAACTTCTTCATAATGTTTGTATTGTAAAAAGAACCAGGTCACATTTACAATACAGTCTGTTTATGCATGCATGTGAAGTAATTCTCATTAGAATGTATAATCATGCGAATCTTTGAAATATATGTAAATCAACCATATAGAGAAATGAACCAGAGAGAATTATTGTATGTATGCATGCTCAAACAATGATCGGATTTTTTAGTAATATTTATTTAAAGAAATTCCTTTATCATTAAATTTGTAGCATTCCATTCTATCTAAGCTGTTACTTTTATTTCTCAGTTGTTCCCCTCTTAAATTTTATTAACTGAAATACATATGTAATGTATTCTATATTTTGTGTCTCCATTAAATGTAAAACAACGGGAGGAATGTTGCGTTTATTCCATCATAATAGAGAAATCTACCTGTAAGTTGTTCAGTGCACTTCTAGCGTATACCATACCAGTTTTCATTTACCATAGGGCACAAGTTGTATTTATACATTTGTGAACTTGTAGACAGTACATAAAAGAGTTGATTTTTGTGAGTGTGCACAAGTAATTCAAATCTCCACTTCATTCTTGTTGCTTTCCAATAAAATCAGTTAGACATGTGAAGAGATATTTAAGGTACCAAATCTTCCCAGGTTTTAGTATTTATATTGGTAATGGTATCTTTCTATTACAAACAATTGTCTTTATTGTAAGAAATAATCTAAATGGAAAAAATATCCAAAGTCTAGTTACTAGGAAAAGTTATTGTAGATCCATGCGAAATTGATGTTCATCTCTTATAATTAACAGTGAGAGAGTGAGAGTGAGAGAGAGAAAGCGTATTTCTAGACAATCTGTATAACATGTATAGTTGAAAAGCGATTAAACAAAATAAATATTCTTAAAGGTTATTAGTTAGTTATTTCGCATATGAAACCCTTTTTCACTTATCCCATGCATCATTATCCTTTTCTCTTCCTTACTATTATCAATATTGGCAGCATTAATGATGGCATTCACCATTCTTTTAAATCTACTGGTTGGTTGTTACGAATGATTATTAAACTTATTAACAGCATTACTACAATTTTGTGTTTCAGGTTTAGAAAAACACCCAAATCATGGTAATATACATGACATTAGTTTTGTTATTCTAGTTCTGTCAATATTATTGAAAGAATTGCATATGTTCATTAAAAACGAGTATAGTATGGTAACTTGTGCAAAATAAAAATTCTGCACTGTTTTGTGAACGCAAAGAGAGGAATTACATTTTGCATACAGTTGTGCATACTTTATGAGAAATATACCTAGGGTTGATAAGATGTGCAACAAAGCTAGGCTTATGTTTTCTAAGAAGCTCGAAGCCAAGAATGCTAGTAATACATACTGCAACAATGTTCACAGTGTACAAATGGACACTTGATGTGTGCCGGTTGCTTCACTCATGTCCTCGCAGATGCCAGGCTGAGAGATGAAATGGCAACATGTCCCAACTGCAGAATCGAGATCAGCAGAACATCTCCGTCTCGAAATCTGGCAGTTGAGAAAGCTGTGTCTGAGTTACCAGCAGAATGTCAGTATTGCGCCAAGGAGTTTCCACGAAACTCGTTGGAACGCCATGAAGAGACAATGTGCGAAGAAAGGTAATCAAAGGCTGTAAACATAAGCGGACTGTATTATTGATATCGTTTCTGATCCGTATGTAGGATATCCAGCTGCAAGTACAGTAGAATCGGATGTCCTTGGCGTGGACCGAATCATGAACGTCCAGAGCATGAAGCACAATGCGTTCATCCGCATCGGTCAGGGCTGGACGTTATGGATGCGCTACGTGATATCGACGCTCGTACTCTCGAGGAACGTAGGCTGTATGACAATGTCTTTGATCTTTTGTCCTACGAGAAAATCACATTCAACGGTCTGTATCCGTTTCTCATGCATTAAGGCCTTCAAAACTCTCATTTAACTAAAACGATATCGTACATTACCTTCAATATAGCGGAACTGTTTGCCACATCTTTTTTTTTGTCTGCTTTGTGTAGCAGCAGCAGGGTCAGTTCCTTTTCATCCGACACTTATGTTAGTTTTAATTACTCAGACTTTCATACATTCTTTTGCTCAAACGTTTTTCGCTGGCATTCTTGTAACAGAGTGATATAGGGGTATACGAAGTGTGTAATCTATCTGTAGAATTTCGTCGTTTATAGATTTACAAATGAAGCCGTATCGTACGGACGAGTTCGTTCATAAACTTTTTTATGAAACCTCTCGTTTTACGGCGTTTAATAATCAATGGGTCGTAAAAGCTCGGATCAACAATAGTCAGCGTGATCCTACTCAAAGCTCGGAAAGAGACATGACCTATCAAGTACGTAAGGATTCAACATCTTTTAGAAGCTCGGTGGTTTTATATTGTGACTACAATACAGTCATGAACATTGTTAATGTACTTTGTAGCTGATATTGAAAACAAAAACAACGTATCCAATGCCGCTTCACTATCTGATATTGAAAGGACCGTTTGGAGACATGAAAGTACAACCAAGAATTCACAGATTCGAATTCACCGACCAAGAAAACGAAAGTCCTTATTTACCTTTACCTTTACCTGACACAGCAGAGTGCAATAGACTTCTTGCTGCGAGAGCTATTAGTTTCAGGTAAAATTTTCTTACTTACTTAACCATCTGGCCTCAAGAAGCCGGAACTGCTTAAATACGTATCTTTTCTTCCAGACTTATAATGTTCCTGGCATCAAAGTAGTTTCCCGCAGTGATTGTCGTTGTGAAGATTTATGGCAAATGATTTATTGACACAACATTTTTAGATTTAACAGCGATACGAGATCACAGAGATTTATAATCAATGATAGTAGCGATAATCGTAACGATAATAAAATTGAAGATGCTAATTCTGCCGTAGTCTATACACGCATATACACTGGAAATGTACACTGTGTTAATACGAGGAACTAGCGAGGCACAAATTTATAGCAAAGTAACATGCAGATTACTCGAAGGAGAAAAAATACTTTGGGTTCCATTCAAAATTTGTTTGTACATTGTGCTGTTCCTTCGAGCCAAGAAGACACACGCAAGCTTTATGTAGATCGCTGTCGTCAAACAGGTGTATTAAATTGTGTCCTTCGATAGTAGTTTGCGCTAACAAAAAGATTACATTTTTCATGTAGCTGTGCAATCAGTCGGATATCTATTTAATCCACATGCCTGTCGACCAATGCCTATTGTAGACTCTTTTTGTTTGTATACAAATTATTAACGTCGTTCATGTAATGTCTTGACTCGACACATTGTAATAGAAGAAATTTAAATAAATTTATTATAATTATGACTAATAACCTTGCCGTTCGAATGTAACAAAGTCGTCACCGGGTTCTATTGTAGCTCGGACAAATTAATGAATGTGTTGTTGTTTGTTTTCGGCCCGTTTGCGTTGTTTGGCGGAAATATCAATGGATTTAAGTTATTCTCCGGTGAGCTGGCACTGTGTCTACGATATTTCGGTGTTGGCGGTCTTGGATCCGGTTCGGAGCAACCTTTCAGCCAATAAGATGTGACTGTTCCCTTGCCCTTCAGTTCTACCGCACCCCTTAATTCAAGGTCAAAGGTGCCGAATTTGTCCAATATGCATTTCGTTGCCTCGGACACGTGTATACACAGCGCTAAATAAGTAAATAATTTCACTGTTCAAAGTTCATTATGAAATTCTCAATCCATCTAAAGATACTTGAAAAACGTTCTAATTAATTTTTATAGATACAATGGTTTGTCGTTCCTACTCACGTAGCCCCGAAGACTCCATCCTTGACGCGGTATTCACGGTGTCCCCAAAGAGACAATAGTGCGGCATTTTGTGACCTACTACGCCAGCGCAGACAGGCCCGCTGTGCACCCCGATTCTGACGCTCAATTGAGCGTTCTGTTTGTGCATTATAGTGAAGGATTTGACGGAATCTAAAATTGCCAGCGCCATCAGACCGATCTCCCTTGCGTGTTCGTCGCCGTTCCTTTCTGGTAAACCGGAAACCACCATGTACGCGTCTCCGATCGTCTCCACCTGCGATTTCAAGCTTTCGCATAATAAAACTTGCAACTTAGTTCTTGCGTTCAGGATCGAAGCTGTACCTTATAGACGTCGTAAAATTCGATGATGCGGTCAAAAGTGCTATAGAGATCGTTCAGGAAGTCCACCACTTCCATTGGGGTGCTCTGAGCGCAGAGGGCGGTGAAACCGACAATATCGCTGAAGTAAATGGTCACGCATTCGAATTGCTCGGGCTGTACAAGTTCACCGGCCATTAACTGGCACGCCACTTGCCTGAAATTGATTAGATTCACAATAGCTGCCGGAAGCATAAGAAAGAGACAAATCACCTAGGGAGTACTTGGTAGAGGAGCTCCTCGCTGCGCCGCTTTTCTAGACTTAACTGCTCCGTTTTCTCCTCGACTAGAGCTTCCAGATTGTTTGCGTATTGCTCCATACGCCTTAGTAAATCGTCCATTAAGTTCTCGCAGTAACCTCTGTAGGATTTAAAAGTGAACTCGACATATGTATATGTCGTATGTATATGTATACGACATATGTTCATAATGGAAGCTTCTACTTTCATTTTGTAAAATGGAGAAGGTACAAGACAAGCTGTAGCTCTTACTTCATAATTCCCCTTATCGTTCCGCGAATCGCGTGAAAAGTGGGTCGTTCTTCTGCCATTTCGTTCCAACATCTGTCCATCAAAGACAGAATATCCGGAGGGCAATCCTTCGGCGTTACGTTCGGCCTAAACGGCGGCGTTTCGGACGCTGCGACGCGGCTAACGATCTTTAATTCGATCATGCATGCAGATTGTCGATGGAAAAAAAAATCATTTTAAAATCGACAAAATTTCTCGAAATCATACCTCTTGCGAACTCACGGACCCTTTGACAGTTTCGTATGGTCCACCACGAACAACGATTTCTTCTAAAATGATCGCGAAACTGTAAACGTCGCCCTTCTGTGTCGCCACGCTTCCGGGAGTTACGGTCAACGGCAGAAGTTCCGGCGCGATCCAAAGTAACTCTGTGAAATAATTATTATATGTCAATTATTTGTCGATAAAAAGCTCAGACAGAAAAAAATAGGCTTTCGCGTGACGCAGTTAGCATAGTACATTTCACCTACTGGTATAATAAACATCGTCCATGATTAAGTCTGACGGCGTGGTAAGAGTCTTTAATCCAAAATCTGAGATTTTTAGGACGAAGCGACCATCGATCAGACAGTTACAGGATCGAAGCTTCCCATGAGCTGATACCTCGCTGGCGTGAAGGTAGGACATTCCCTGCAAGTAGAATTATTCATTGCATTTCGATTAACTTGAAGCAATAATTCGGTATTTAAACAGCAACACAGGCCTGTACGACTATTACTACCTTGACTATGTCGTGAATCAAGGACATTCGGAAATTCCAGTCGAGCTTAATGGCCTCGTTCTCCAGCACGTCCTTCAGGGATCCTCGGGGACAATACTCGGTCAGGATCAATACAGTCGGCGATGGTGAACAGAGGCAGGCGCCGATAAATCTAGAATTAATTTCAGATTCGTAAGTCGATTTTTATTTTTATAAGGATAGACAGTTCCCCGTTTGAAAACCATAGGACAGTTTTTCTCTTTAATATCAACGCCTATTTGTACCTGACGGTATTTTCAGACGCAACGTCCCGCACTTGTTTAATCTCCCACAGTAATTTCTTCGTAATGTCGACCACCTTTTTCTTGGTGATCTTTTTAATGGCCACCCTCTCGCCCTTGTAAATTCCAATCGTAGTGAAGACCGTGGTGGGTGGTAAGGAATCACAGCTGAGCTGCGATCCTCTACGAACACGTTGCTCCAACCCGAAATTCTATCGCCGTATGATATAAAGTATAACGTATTCAAATTTTCATTTACACGACTTCAACGAAAAGAAAAGAAAAACTAATGATTTCTTTCCAATTCGTTTACCTCGGACATCGCTTGATGCAAATTGATCTTCGAAGAAAGAGGTTTCCCTATTTCTAGTAACAGTTCTTCTGGTCTGATCCTCCAGGACATGTTGTTCAAGTCCGCGGATAGTCTTAGATGCCTAGTGCATGATAATTATTAATAACTAGACTGCGGATTTTATGCATTTATAGCTTACAGGGCTCTAGGAAATACAATGAAAAACAAAACTTTCATCGGATCCAACGAGCTCTCTATTTTATTCTGAACACAATAAGATACTTAAGAGGGAAAATAAATTTCTATGATTGCTCCCGCCTTTATAAAATAATTTAGAAACTACTATTAATAACTGACTTAATTACTTTGCAAGTGAGAAAAATTACATGAACGGAACGAATAAAGAAAACTGCCTGCCTGTATAGGACGCATGTAGCAGCCACAGCAGCGAGTAGAAACGCTGCAAGCGCCAGGCTCGTGTACGCGACGAAGGTGTAAGCTTCCGTTCTGGACGTGCACGCAGGATCGTTGCCCAAGAATCCACATTCTGGAACGTCAGCCGGTGGTCCTTCCCTACCACCTGGCCAATGAATCTTCTTTCCGGGAACGGGGCTGTACTCTCGATTTAATCCCAGATAGTGAGCGACCACCTCGAATCTGGTAATCAGTTTCCTCTTATTTATTATTCCCGCCGTTCCCCGTACAATATTAATTACCGTCGCTTTCGAACAAATCAAACATCATTCAGAGAAGGTTAATGGAATTCCTAACTAGATATCAGCCGTCTCTATACGGAGAATGGAACGCTTGATTAGCATGGTAAACAGTCGATGGAATGGGTTGCTTAATTGCCGCTGACCTTCCGGTTATAGGGTCTAAATCCAGGATACTGTAGTCGGCGTCACGGTCACCATTGTCGTCTATTCTCACGTGCCCGGTAATACCAATGAAGTCCCGGTCCCACATCCTTCTCGTTATCGCGATACCGTCCCAGATGTCTCCACCTTCCGCCAGGGTCTCGTTCAGTGCCATACCAAGCAGGTAGACGCCGTCGTAGAATGCTCCGATGAAGAAGTTCACCTGGAAATTTACTTTTAATATTTTTTTTTAAGATTCTCGAGCTGGCGGAAATAGCAGTTATTATTGTTGCGTTATGTACTTCCTCGCCCTCGGAGAACGAGTAGTTGTAGTCGGTTTGCGCCCTTTGTCGGACCGTTTCCGCAAAATCTTGAAACCTTGGGTTCGTCGGTTGCAGCAGGGACACTCTTAGCAGTGCTTCGTAAGCTTTTCTAGCCACAGCGTCGTCTTCGTCGCCAACCTCCCAGTCGTGATCACCCCAATAGGAGCCCTAATGTTTGGTGCGGGTATCTCGTTAAATTTCACTAACTGTTCGACTAAATAAATGCCTTGAATGTTTTAGTATCTAGAAGAACCGTGACTGCGTGGCTCTGTTTACTTGAAATATCTCAACGTCGAGGAACGCCCAATCCCCTCTGGTCATTCCCAAGTCGTGAGCCGCCAACATGAATCTTCTGACGAGGGTCCCGCGAACGCTAAGAATCAACACTACCAAAAAATACGAGATACCACGGTATTTAATATTTAAGATGATTCGGTGGAATATATTTGTCCCTCGATTCAACCGCGGGAATCGACGGACATTTGTTGCATTACAGTGTTAATCTCTCACCTCGGGCATACATACTGGCGTCGCGCAAGTAAAAGTGATACGGCTCGTCCTCCGAGTTCCCATCAAGTTCCCGGACGAACTTCAACAGGCCCTGTTTCCGCAGACCGTATTCCAGATTCTTGCCGACCGTCCACGAGAACAAGTCCGATCTGTCTAATATCAGCGCGACGTGCGACCATCCGAACTCTTTAAAGATACTAGAGAAGACCAATCGTAGCCGGCACTGGCAGTAGGACATTCTGGTCAGAGTGGGATACTTGCTTTTGTCCTTGAAAATACCCTTTAACAGGAAGCACAGTAGGGAAAAAAGGAAACGAAGACGAGACCACTTCGAAGATAAAAACGTTGAGGCGTGTGTTCGGGACCTTCTCGTGTTCTTTTCCGAGGGAAATAACGCGCACGCACGCGATAATTACGGAAACGCCATCGATTAACGGTAACGAGCAAAGAGTCATGCAAACACTGTCGGCGAGCATTAACGCGGATCTCCTTACCGAGCTTTCGTTTTTCCATTTATTGATCCTCCCGAGGATGCCTGATGTGACAGACAGCTCGCCCTCCGATGGAGGCTTGTTCGTCGAAAAATATTTGCGATTATACAATCTGTGCTGGTAGATCTTTTATTCAACGCGTCGATCGCGCGTGAACATACTTGGTCGCCCATTCCTGTGATAATGGGGGTGTTCCAATATGCCGCGAGCCTCGCGACCGGTTCCAGAGCGAACGCGCAGGCGGGACCGATAAACGCGATCACGTTGTCCCGGAAGTGCATGTCCGCCGCCAAGCCGGGCGCCGTGGCACCGCTGCAGGATGGATAACTACGGATTCGTGAAAATTATGAGTCACCTGTATACACCTAGGTAGAATAACACAGACGTAGCGGGTAAAAATTATCGTCGATAAGGAAATGTTTCCTCTTTCTTCATCCGCAGTGTAAGAAATCAATGGGTTACCATTCGAGAACCCATCGATCGTCTCTGTCTACAAGTTCATCAATCCATTACATTTTTTTTTTTTGCTTTTTCTTTTCAATTTTCTCTTCTTATACGTTTCATCGATCAAGAACCGTGATTGAAAACTAACAGTTAATGGAATAAGAATATATACATATAGGGGAAGATTCGCCTGAACGCGAACCTCCGCACCAATATTTGCCGTAAACGTCCATTTCCTTGTCCTGCAAACGCCAATCTTTTACGATCACGTGGTCCCCCGAGAGGCGCTCGTTTTCTTTTTCGGCAATACGATTCCACTGACAGCGGGGGAAACAAAAAGGTGACACAATGGTTATCGGGACCAAACAACGGCCACGAAAAGGAACGAGGGCGAACGACTTGATGGATGATCACGTTCCGCAACGGCAAACATTGTACGATCGAATTACCGGGCAGGAGAGAACGGACAATCAGAATCAGGCGCGAAACGAGAGCCTCAGAGGATCTGCGGATGACCACCGCGAGTAAACTACCCCTCCGCGCGTGGCCGCTGATCGATAATTGGAAGGGGGAACGATGCTCACGGAATGCAGTGTCATTCCAGGTGTAACCAACAATTTGCGATAATGATAGATTAATCGTGACGATGAATGGGCAATGATTGGATTGTTGACCGATCCGAAAGGAATTATCGTCTTCGACCACCTTTCGTCGTTCGCTCCCCTTATTAACCAATCGTAATGTATCCGCACCCGCTGAGAAGCCAAACATTCTGCTTCATGGCAGATCTTCTCATCGTGATTTTCTCCCCGTCATCCGGATTATGTTCTGACTCTGATCCTTTATTTTTCTTTTTTATTGAATCGCTCGTATGTATACTTACATACATTGGGTACTGTTACGTTGTATTTGATAGTTGATATTTAGACATTTTTATTCAGTATCTAATCGACTTTGAATTGCAATTAAAAACAGCTATAGAATTAAGGTCTGAAAACGGTAAAACCTTATGCTATAAAAATGTGTGAAAAGCATCTTGAATTTAAGCCTAGTAGGATAGACCAACCAGTAATTGATTGCATACCAGTGAATGAGCATTAGGCAAAGAAATGTAAATTATGAATTTAAAATTATTAACTGTTTATAAATGGAGTGCAGTTGCACTTTTAATATCCCATATTTCTAGTTTAACTCATTAAGCAAACATTAATAAGTACAATTCTTATTCGTAATATTTCAGAAATGTAGCATTTATTTATTGGGCATTTACACGTTTTACACTTTGTAAATAATTTGTTTTTTAATCCCAAGAATGAGTCATTATTTTTATAAAAATTTCAAGAATAATAAATGTAATTGCAATTCCTAGAGTTGTTTTGTTGATATAAATAAATACATTCAAGTATTAATCTGAAACGTCCATAAATTCAACAATTCGGTCATTCACTGGATGGTTTACCTTATCTAGACGTTTTTTACGCGAAAGTAACGAATTACACAGACAGAGATCTAACATCAACAGCGAATAGTTTGCAAAAATATCCGAAAAATACTTTCGCGAACAGCGATTCCCGTAACCCACGCGAAATTTGGATGATTCCATTTAACTGTGACAGCGTAGCCGGGGTGAATCCCGTCGGGGACCCAGGGGTTGTTTTTTTTTTTTATGCAAACGTCTGTCCAATTGAATTAATGTAACGACATGGAAGCAATGGAAACGCGTGGTCAGAAGCGGATCAACTTACGCAGGGTCGCCGGTGTGCCCGGGTATCTAGGACAAACGCGTCCCTATTTTTTCTCTTTCTCTATTTTTCCAGACGTCAAACGTGGTACAATTTATAAGGAAAAAGGAACAGAACAGCCGCCACGGAACGGAAAATCCGTGCTTACGACGGGGAAAAGGAAATCCAAGCTGACGGAGGAAGAAGAAGTTCCCCATACCTTCCTTGAACTTTCCGCAGTTGCACGTTGTGAACGTTCAGAAAGTCGTTCACTTCGGCCAAGGCCAAGTCGACGGCTGGTCCGCACCTCTCGAGATCGAAGGGACTGTTCAGATGAGAGGCCATTAGGACACCGACGTTGTAGATCCTCGGGGAATTCTCGTAATTCGCTGCATAAACAAGGTCGGAACGATACTCGTAAGAACGAAAAGGGATCTATACGCGGGATCAACGTCGGACTGACGTATGGAAAACAGAGAGAGAGAGAGAGAGAGAGAGAGAGAGAGAGAGAGAGAGAATTGGAATTGTAACGCCGACGGTTCGCGCGCTAATGGAGCTCGAATCGGGATTGAAACGGGTATGAGACGTTGTCCTCTCAGCCGTCGAAACAAATCGCCCAGAAAGAATGATTATTTCATTCATACACTCAACTGCTTGTAACACCGAAAAAAAAAAGACAAAACGGGGTCGATGAAAGGGACGCGTGGTGGTGCTATGTTATCCTGAATAATGAACATAAAAATATATTTCGAACGCAAAAAGACCGTAAGAAAAGTTTAGGGTCATAAACAAAAGGTATCGTGACAATTAGGAACGGACACCTCGCATAATGTCGCGTAAAAAGTCATTCCGTTTCTATGTCACTTGTTCTTTCATAGTAATAATAAACATTTTCTAAACTGACGACTGTCCTCGGTTCGACTTACAAAAGAATTCTGTTCATATGATCCCCCAGCTGGGTTTAGTGTATTATCAGACTATACCATCACCTTTAAATGTACTACTTTCAAACGTAAACAATAACATTGGCACTAAAAGAATATACTGTAAGATGTCCAATTGTAGGTTCGACTTTGTTTTTATTTTAAATAGAGGTCATGATGGAAGAAAAACAATTTAACGCGTCATTGATCTGGTCTAATTAATAAATTTATATTAATTTAATTACTATTTATGATTTAATTTTCTTCTGTTTACACAGATGGATGATTCGAGCTACTTACGGGTAATTAAGGGAATACACATACTCTTACCTGAGGAAATGTTGACCGTGACGACTGTTTGAAAAATTCCAAAAACAATCATGAACTTCACACTCGCGGGTAACGCCGGTTGGCACGGAATACCTTCCATCCTCGTCACGTCAATTTACTCTCAACAACTTGGAACGTTACGTTCGGTCGACATGGCTCGAAAGTAACGAAGTAATCGAAGAATATGCTTAAATAATTAAATTTAATCGAATATCCGGTCAAGTAAAATTATCGAGGATGTAACATTCGGTAAACAATTCAAATATGACGGATCGCCGGTTCGAACACATCTAAATCAACCGAGAGCAAGATCCACATTTATATACGGATCAACATAACGCATTTGCAACGATCTAACATGGTTTGACAACTTTAATGTGGCGACGATGACGCTTACAACGTGTCCCTCCGAAGAATCACGGTTTAATGACAGTTTTGGCTTCGTACGATCAAATGCTCGGACGGATATGCATTTGGAAGTTTTGGTACATGCGCTTTGCTGATAGAAGCCCGCGGACCAACCCCTGTCTGCATCTACGCATGCTTCGGATCCCGAAACTCCCCCTCTCGATACATGATCCAAAGGATATCAGGACTCTAGGTACAAATGTTTGCGCGTAAAACGATTTCTATTAATCGATGGAATCATTAGGTGGCTATTTCCATTTGCTCGAGGAACCTCGACCCTTGCCGGAATACTCTTTCTCCTCTTGGGCGCAGATATCTTCGTCCAGGAGGAGCTCGAAGTTGCCCAAAGCTTCCTGGTGTGGGCATTTGTTCCATTTTACGCTGAAAGTAATCGAATTTATGTAATACGAAGTTGAAACGATCATTTTGGAAGTGTTCTGCTGGACCTTACTCCGGAACACCATCGGGAGGGACAACGATCGATATTATGTTGTCGATTAATTTGTACTTCAGGATTCGATCGTTCACCGTAGTGGACGTCAACGACGGCGATGCGTTTACCTGGAATTGAAATAACGATCGGTTAGAATGTTCGTACCAGAAATGGTTATTTATGGTAACGGTTCTTTTCCAAAATCTATTCTCCCTGCCGGCTCAAGCTGTCACTTTCACAGCTGACTTTCGTCGACACCCTCCGAACGCACTCTAACGTAATTTGAAACTGAGTGGAGAAGTCCTTCACTAATGACACTCTCTGCACTGGGGTCAGCGGTATATACATCCATTTTCTGAATTCAACGCGTTGACCGTTGAACGGATATTCCTTTACACCCGAGAATATGATAATTATACGGTTTCTATACTACTTCATTTCATTTATTGCGTGTAGTTTGAATGTTAAGCTCTAAATCAACGGGGCAAATGCCCTATTCGGCGTTAATTCGACGGTAAACAAAATATTCTCGTTGAATAATTTCTTGCAATAAGAGATATACAAATAAATTCTGCATGGATAATTCGTGAATGATCGGTAGATTAAGAGCACCTCTATGAGCCACGGTTTCAGCTCGTTGTCAATGATAATGTCGTAGCCGTAACACTCGAAGCAATGTCGATCGTTCGCCATGACCGGAGCGACAGCTTTTAAAGAATGCACGATGCACCACGTGATGTTTGCGAACAGCTTCTCCGTGACTGCTTTTCCACGCGTGCTCTCCAGATACAGTCGCAAGTTGTGCACGCTCAGTTTGCCACCGTGCTTGGAATTATACTCCTCCTGGAACAAGAACGATTTTAATCCAAAAGAATTACCCTCCCCCCGCTTATCGTCGCCACGTGGAAAAAGAAAGAAGACGTATGAAATTAAACTCACGCCATGCTTTTGTACGGAGACGTTCGTAAGGTGTATGTACATGTTATCCAATTCTTGTATGCTAGTGTCGTACTTGACCGTGCAAAAACGACAGAATCCAAGCTTGAACAAATAGGCCTTCAACGGTCGAAATGATGCGATCAGAACGTACAATCGTAGATCGAACTTTTTACCACCGATTAAAAGAGGATTATCGATGTACCTGTACGTTACGTGACAGAATTAATACCGCAGCTTTTAAACGATCTTTAATTTAATAATATGTAACACCTATGACTTGGAAAAGGTGAACGAAATAGCATATTGCTGCCCACCTAGATATAACATACGATTCCTTTGTCAGATTCGGATTGAACGGATTTTTAGCTTCACGGGACCATTTCTTCAGTTTACTCAGCTTGTTGATCAGAAATATTCCAGCGCCTTGGGATTTCCCGCACGGTTTCATGATCCATGTGCTCTGCGGTGATTTCCGGTACTCCTCCACAAACATGTTGTAATCTGCAGAATAGAAACGGTAACGTTAGTGTTACAACGAATATAAATAGTGATTAACAATTGTACTTTGCCTGCTGGTAAGACAAACGTGACGGGAATGAAGTCCAGATAAAGATATTTTCCCGGACCGTCTCCTCTTTCCGCTAGAGGATTTCCCTCGCGTTCCAGTTCTTTCCGGTAACGTTTTATATTCTTCACCAGGAGATCTTTCCGCGTGAGCTCGTAATGATTTGGAAAATGATTGATTATCCTAGAAAAGGGGAATCGTATTTAGCTGATGATAATCGGTATTTATTGAAATTTAGACTGTAAATAACTGACTGTTTATCGTCCATTCTGTATCCAGTCTCCACGCTAAATATCGTTCTACATGATTGAGTCGCCGCCCTGTAGTAACAAATAACTAATCATTATTATCATTCATTTATTATTAATTTTTATTTGTGACAAATGTTTGTCATATTGGATTCCTCGGTTTGTTTATTACCAATAAAAATTCCAATCATCCTCCGGACCGACCTGCACCCATCCTCTCTTCTCGAAATTGTGCACTATTATAGATTTGTCAACGTCCGTGCAAAACGCGAGTTTCTTGTCCGCTCCACTCGCCGATATCCTGCGAATAATCGAATTTTAAGAAGAGCAAAGTAATTGTAGCCAGTGAAACGATTCCCTCCATTCTCTTCGGACGGCCAAGAAGCAACGGATGGCAAATCTTTAATTGACATTTCGCTGTGCTTGACAAATTTGCAGTGGGTAAACTTGTGGCGGATTTCTCCAAGTTCATTTTCGTTTTACCTGCCATAGTTGGTGGATAAACTTAAATTTGGAATGCGTTTGCCGTCTGCAACACCGGACGCCATACCCTACGCTAGCACAAGTTAGATCGATTTGCCGTGGATACGCGAATTTTCAATATTTTCTACTCCGGATTTAATTATGATTAAGTTACGAAAGTATTCTTGCTGAGTTACTGTTAGACAGTTATGATTCAATTTTTATATGTATTTGTAATATAAACCGTTATAATATTACTAATGTTAACAATAATAGGAAGTTATTAAATAACCTTCTTGTCATTAAATTACGAATATTGAAAGTGATGCACACGCAAAATATTAGATACAAATGACAAGAATGTATTAATATATTCATTGTATGGGTATGTCTATCATATTTAGGAAATAACAATCATAACATTTACTTTACCTTCTCGCCATGTTTATTACGATCGAAACCGTCCATCGATTGAAAATCAAGCATACTTTTAACAAATTTTTCTTTAAAAAATACTTGTGAGTCGGATAAAAGAAAAGTGCTAAATTTTAATTATATCGCGAAGGAACCATATGTTTATGTTTTGTGGTAACCGGCCGATTTCAAGTGTGTTTACTTTGTCTTCATTGGGGGAACGGTTCACGTGCCAGAAACGCGTTGGAGTTTCGACCGGCAAGACGTTTGTTAAGTAAGTACGAAACTCGCATCGCATTAAAGTCGGTTCTTCCAGTGAATACATTATGTTTCGTCATTATTTGATTCATTCTAAATTGTCATTGCACTCGAGCATACCATAGACGGAATTACAGTGATCATTCTTACTCTGCTTCGTAAGTAATATTATTCGTCAATGTTTTTTTACGCTGCAAAAACAAATGATAAATCTTCATTGCAGTAGGCAACTTCTGTTCATACCTTAACTGTCATGATTACTGGCGAATGCAACTTATAAATCATGCGAAAACAACATTTAATTTTGAAACAGTAACATGTGTTTACATATTACACGTGGTTGTCACATGCTAAGAACACAAAGTATAGTACAGTAGTAATAGTTTTACGACATTTCTGTTTTTACATTTATAGAATCGGATTGAATCCTCAATGCATCACACAAATTTCTGTTTGATTCCAGTTTCTGTAAATTAGCCCATTATAATCTACATTTCCGTACACATACGTGATCTACAAATAAGTTTTGGTCTTCGCATTCTGTTCGATGTTAATTTGTAAACTGTAAATAGTGACGCGATCTTATGGATACGTTAGTTAATTCTGTATTAAATACACCGAGTTAGACATTACAAATTGAATAATGGGAATGCAAGTACCCCAGTCAACTGGAATTTGAATGTTGCTCGTGAGTACCAAAGACGTCGCAAATATAATAAGTGAATCACGTTCGCGTACAGGAATTCGTGTCATGAATGTACAATTCAAACTGCAGTCGGTCGTTAACGAACCGTATAAGAACGTCGGAGTATATAATAGAAAGTACCTGTTTAATTGAACCATTTTTGTGTGCTTTAATTGTTAGTATACTAAACATCTTTTAAAGAAAACAAGGGTAATTATCAGTTGGGTGAATTATTCCTCATGTTTTGTGCATCATTTGTCAAGGAATTCATTAAATTATAGGTATGGATTAATTAAATACTTTTATTAGGAACAAGCAGTCAGAATGTCTGTCAGCGCAAAATCTGGAAAGATGAATTGTGTGCGGACAGCTAGGGGCCGTGGAATAGCTCTTAGTAATTTGTCCCCACATAAATGTCTTTGCAACAGGCCTCATTGTTTTGTATTATGCAATGTTTGTGGATATTGGACCAAGGGCAGAGTACGTTACTTCTGTCCCATTCACCCACAGGTTTGTTTTTTTGAATTAGCACATTGCGAATTACATATAATAAAAAAATATGTATACTTATACCTAAAAGTCACAACTGTAATAACTAAATATTTACATGAACTTGCCTCTACATATCGGTATTGTACTGTTTTTTTCTTCTTTTCAGACAATTTTTCTTTTTGATATTGCACAATGTCCACAGTGCAAATCCTATGGCTTTATGCTGACTGAATTTTGAATCAAGTTAGCAAGAAGATTATTATACTAAATACTTATGCTTTAAGTATCTATAGTACACATGTTATGTGTACTCGGTATCCTGTTTTGTTTATCCATTTAAGATTTTATTTTTGAGTATTAAATACCAGTATTAAGTTAATGTGATAGATTTGAAAGTATAAAACAGATTAATACTTTATTATTTATTTTATTACTTTTCTTAGTGTTCAAACAAGTCTATTATATCCTAAACCAAGAGGGTAAACCTGGCATTTTGTTTGCCCCTGTATATTCTTCATTTTCTTTTTTGTACTCTTCAATACTTTTTTCTTCATTTTTTTCATTTGATTTTGGAAACAGATCTGGATATGTGAATGTTTCATCTTTGTTCTGTAAATATGAAGAATAATTTAATACTATGAAAATTCGCAATTAAAGATAGATTAGTATAATTATAGGTATAAGACTTAAATACTACAACTTTGAATGAATTATACAAAAATATTTTTATATTTGAATAAATATAAATATGTAACAAGAAGTTTACTTTTTCTTTTAGATTAATTGTTTGAGACATGAAAATGTGTTCCTTGATCTCAAAGTGTTAAACCACTAAACGTATCATGCATCACATGTTTACAATAAAGTACGATAATCTTATAAGTAAAGTAAATTTTACAAATTAGTTATCTCCACTTTGCATTTCTCAAAAATGAAACTCTAATTCAAAGAATTATTACACCTACCAAAGTAACATAGGCTATCTTGATATCATCATCTTTAACAATACATTTCAATTGTGGGCAATGTCTAGTGTATCCCGCTTTAATTTTAGTAACAACTTGAACAGGGTACACATTGTAAATCTTTTCTAAGTAATTATGTATATCGTGCATTGTCATTTCCATTGAACAATGAAACTGTACAACATTTTTCAGTTGTTTTATGGGTGGTGTAACTAGTTTCAGCCAAAAATTTGGGAGGTAAACTCTAAGCTGTGGGTTACCTTTTTGATAGATAGGGTACCTAAAAGATCGATAGAATTTGTATCAATAAACAAAAATGTAACTTTCAAACGTATTACTTCAGTTTGTTAGATAATTTAACGAATGTCACATCATCATTTACTCACCAACGTGTAGACATTGTATAATTATTCAATTGCAGATCGTAGGTTATCTAACGTTGATAAGTCGTTTACCTTAAATTATATATTTAATCTGTACTAGATGCAAGTACAGATATTAACTTATTGTTATACACAAAATAACCTTAAACTTTCAGAAGTATATATGTGATATAAGTAATTATATGTACATAGGTTTGTTTATGTTCCAATAATCGTAACCATCTAGCGATTGCAAGTACGAACTAAAGGCGCTCCTACACTCGTAACAAGCTTTATGTGTATGTACCTTTCATAAATTACATTAGCTTTTAAGGAAACATTTTATTGAACTAATGTGTTCAACTGGAGTAATTTCCACGCAGAAACGACAGAATCCTCTTTTACTGCGATCATTATATAGTCCGATTACAATATATCACAGTCAAGGTACATGTGCATACCTCGTTTGTGCACACACGTATTTCTCACCCACGTGCGTGCACCCCACTCTGTCGTCCAGCTCATTATTTTTTGTTACAATCACTAACCCGTGCTTTTCTACACTTTTATACATAAAGAAGATAACTAAGCAAATTTAGTTATTAATCATTTTTTATGGTACAATTTTATTCACACTATTGATTACATTGTTTTCACAGAGAAGAATAAATTAAATCACTGTTCAATATCGCAATTAATTGAACGATTGCCACTGGGTTCCGTCCTGCAGTTCCCCGATTAGTTCACATTTGGACAGCTCTTAGAACGTTATACATACAGCATTCATCTTGACCAATCACTCGATTTGTAGCTAAAAGAACGTAGATTAACCATTTGTCATTAATAACAACAATAAGTAAGCAGAACATTGTTAAAAGCGCATTTAATCGTGGAATACCACTATTTTTTTGACTGGTGGCGCCACCCGTGGCAAATCGTGGAAACTGTTAGCCAAATCATACCGACAGGTGAGTGAAAATTTCTCATAATGGAAAAATGCAAATATCTCAGTAATTAGGCGCTCAAAGATAACTTTGTTATTCACAAATTATTCGCTACGATTCAATGCATTGATCCCATACAGCAGAACCCCATAATTAGACGAATTATTTCTGTCAGTGTTGATCATCATTGAGAATATAATTCGTCGGATTACCAGTTCCTGCGATATTACATCGATGCATTGGATCGTACGAAATAATTTGAGATTAACAGCATTAAGTTTGAACGCCTAATTACTGAGATATTTGCATTTTTCCATTATGAGAAATTTTCACTCACCTGTCGGTATGATTTGGCTAACAGTTTCAACGATTTGCCACGGGTGGCGCCACCGGTCAAAAAAATAGTGGTATTCCGCGATTAAATGCGATTTTAACAATGTTCTGCTTACTTATTGTTGTTATCAATGAAATAACGTTAATCTACGTTCTTTTAGCTACAAATCAAGTGCTTGATCGAGACGAATGCTGTACGTATAACGTTGTAAGAGTTGTCCAAATGTGAACTACACGGGGAACTGCAGGTCGTGACCCAGTGGCAACCGTTCAATTAATTGCGATTTCAACAATGTTCTTGTGATTATTGTTTCTTGTCCAATAGAAGGTATTAATCTACGTTTCTTAAGCTTCAGATCTAGTGATTGAGGTAAAAGAATGGTACCCTTTTAACGCTGTAAATGTAATCCAAACATGTGCAAATATAATAATACCCGAATGATGCTTGCCATTATTGTCGTAGAAGTTTACGGAGGGAAGCGATGAACATTCTTTTTAACCTGGTTCGACAGTGTTATACGGACCGTTTTCTTCTTCAACGAGTATTCGTTTTGAAGCTTAAAGAACGTCGATTAATTCCCTTGCATTGATAATAAAAATAAATAAACAGAATCACTGTTAAATGGATTTAATCGCGGTAAACCATTATTTTTTTAACAGTGGGTCTGTTTATTTATTGTTATTGTCAATGCAAGGGGATTAATCTACGTTCCTTAAGCTTCAAAACGAATACTCGTTGAAGAAGAAAACGGTCCGTATAACACTGTCGAAACTGGTTAAACAGAATGTTCACCGCTTCCCTCCGTAAACTTCTATGACAATAATGGCAAGCATCATTCGGGTGTTATTTGCACATGTTTGGATTACATTTACAGCGTTAAAAGGGTACCATTCTTTTACCTCAAGCACTAGATCTGCAGCTTAAGATACGTAGATTAATACCTTCTAGTGGAAAAGAAACAATAATCACAGAAACATTGTTGAAATCGCAATTAATTGAACAGTTGCCACTGGGCTCCGTCCTGCAGTTCCCCGTGTAGTTCACATTTGGACAGCTCTTACAACGTTATACGTACAGCATTCGTCTCGATCAAGCACTTGATTTGTAGCTAAAAGAACGTAGATTAATCTTTTGTCATTGATAACAACAATAAGTAAGCAGAACATTGTTAAAATCGCATTTAATCGCGGAATACCACTATTTTTTTGACCGGTGGCGCCACCCGTGGCAAATCGTTGAAACTGTTAGCCAAATCATACCGACAGGTGAGTGAAAATTTCTGATAATGGAAAAATGCAAATATCTCAGTAATTAGGCGCTCAAAGTTAACGTTGTTACTCACAAATTATTCGCTACGATTCAATGCATTGATCCAATACAGCAGAACCCCATAATTAGACGAATTATTTCTGTCAGTGTTGATCATCTTTGAGAATATAATTCGTCGGATTACCAGTTCCTGCGATATTAGATCGATGCATTGGATCGTAGGAAATAATTTGAGATCAACAGCATTAAGTTTGGACGCCTAATTACTGAGATATTTGCATTTTTCCATTATGAGAAATTTTCACTCACCTGTCGGTATAATTTGGCTAACAGTTTCAACGATTTGCCACGGGTGGCGCCACCAGTCAAAAAAATAGTGGTATTCCGCGATTAAATGCGATTTTAACAATGTTCTGCTTACTTATTGTTGTTATCAATGACAAAAGATTAATCTACGTTCTTTTAGCTACAAATCAAGTGCTTGATCGAGACGAATGCTGTACGTATAACGTTGTAAGAGCTGTCCAAATGTGAAGTACACGGGGAACTGCAGGTCGTGACCCAGTGGCAACCGTTCAATTAATTGCGATTTCAACAATGTTCTTGTGATTACTGTTTCTTGTCCAATAAAAGGTATTAATCTACGTTTCTTAAGCTTGAGATTTTAATGCTGGAAGAAGAACAAATGGTATCTTTTTAACGCTGTAAATGTAATCGAAACAGGTGCAAATAATACCCGAATGATTCTTGCCATTATTGTCGTAGAAGTTTACGGAGGGAAGCGGTAAACATTCTTTTTAACCTGTTTCGACAGTGTTATACAGAGCGTTTTCTTCTTCAACGAGTATTCGTTTTGAAGCTTAAAGAACGTAGATTAATCCCCGCACATCAGTAGTAGCAAGAAATGATCACAATATTGTCAAAATGGCAATTAATTGTGGCTGTCTCTGGGTTCCGTTTCGCTGAATAAACTTTGTACATTAATGAACTAACGTAATTCTTTGTTTCAACGAATTTCTATAGAAACTGCAAACACTGTTGTGTATATATTATCCACTAAAATGACAGTGAATTACTTACATGTCTTTCCTATTTAAATTCTGTTCTTAAACAAATAAGTGAAGGGATACAATTAGACAACACAGACATTATTTCCAAATTTATTATCTTTCCACTCTTAACTGATATTTTTTCTTGATTGTAGAATCAAGAATGGACCTTTATCGAATTGTGGGTAATAAATTTGAACCGGCTTAGGTTGACATTAACTAGTTAATAATATAATTTTTGAAGGCGATATTCGTTATAACTTAATTACGTAATGCGTAAGACAAGGAGCATCAATTGCGTAAGAAGAATAGAGATAGGTTTTTACGTGCCACCAACTTTTAGTACGGTGTCATAAACCCCTGGTACGGACTATGAAAGCATGATGGCTATGGAGGTATTAGACAAGGAGCATCAATTACGCAAGCAGGATAGAGATAGTTTCCTACGCGCTACCAACTCTTAGAACGGCGGCATAGTCCCCTGGTATGTACTATGAAAGTATGATGTCTGAGGAGGTATTAGACAAGGATCATTAATTGCGCAAGCAGGATAGAGATACGTTTGTACATGCCACCAACTCTTAGAACAGGATCATAGTCTCCTGGTATGTATTATGAAAGCATGATGATTGAGGAGGTATGTGACAAAGAGGGCGACATACAGACCCCAAATGTGCAACAAGGATAGATGATTTTGATGTTTCAAGCTTTAGCTAAGATTCTGCTGTTTTTCTGCCATTCGTAATAGGAACACAGAATAACCGAGGAGGTGTCTTTACGGTTGCACTGTTTCTCTATTTAATCTGGTAGCGTATTATTACTATCCATTTTTGTATTAAATGTCAGTTGTTCTTTATTGTTATTCTCTTTATAGGGATTGAGTGATTGTTAATGTCAATTTAGCACACATCGTTTTCTGCGAAGAAATTGGATGTTTTGTAGCCTGTGTTTAAACTGGAAGTCGGTGTAAAGAATGTCAACACCATCTAACTCAAATCAAATACAATCAAACAACAATATTAACGATTAAAAAAGTGGACAACTTGCAATTTGTATAACAAGAAATGCCTCCGAAGCCGAGACCGGTATATTTCATTTTCTTCTGTATTATTACTTCGAGAATATTCATGTGGCTTTAATACATTCTAACCTATGTATGTTCTGGCAATAATAATAATAATAGCTATAGAAATATCTCTACTTTCAGAATAACAAAAAACCAGGAACAAGTAAGAAAAATACAGGTCTATCGAAGCAGGGGAATTCTGTGAAGAATTCTGTGAAGAATTCTGAACAAAAAAAAGTAGAAACTACAAGTGGTTTAACACAGGAAGCCGAAGATCAGTTTGAGCTAGAATTATGCTGGTGCATTCAGCAGTTAGAAACGTCTCTAGCCGCTGGTAAACATTCTGACAAACAGGCACAGGATTTGAATAAGAATATAAATATTTTAAAAAGCAGCACGGCACCATTGATAAAAAAAAGACAAGTAATGCACAACACTTTAGGGAATTACAGAGAGAAAATGGCTTTGGACGTACAGAAGCATGGCAGAACATCATCCTCTATGAAATTTGTAACAACATGTGTGCAGAATGAAAAATGTATGTTTGTTAAAAGGGCTATATGCAAATCGACTAAAGAGAAGCAGAATTTGGATAATAAAGTGATGACTCCAAACATGGATGATGATTCTGTTGACTGTACACAGACTGCATTTAAATTTAATTTTCAAATTACAGAATAAATGTATATCTCATACATGTGATTGTGTTCAATTATTACAGTTTTAATCTTGCTATCATTAATCTGCCATTATATTGTATTTTTCTTTTCATAATTGTTGTTCATTTAATTATTAAACAATCACCTAAAAGTTCAGACTACTTATTACTATTAATTCATTATTCCTTAATAAACTGAGAACTCAATGACAGAGAAAGCAAAAGTTTTCAGTCTTTCTTTGTATTTTCTTCAAGGTTTCAGTTACCCGAATAACAACGTAATTGTAGAGAATAAGACTTTTATTATGATGTAATAATTAAAATTCCAATAGAATATAAATAATGTTTTTGCTTTCTGTTTTCATAGTGCGTTTATATTAGAAAACATTAAGTGTTATGTGAACACGGTCCTGTGGCGCAACGGATAACGCGTCTGACTACGGATCAGAAGATTCCAGGTTCGAATCCTGGCAGGATCGAAGTAAATTTTTTTACTTATTTTTAGTTATCATGAAGTTATTAACAATTACCAAACATCATGGACTTTTTTTGAAAAGAATGTAACGAGAACTAACTGAAATCAAAGAAAGATAAAGAAATGAAAGAAAAGTGGTCAAAGAATGTCTGAATACTTATTTAGATATTTAATCAATGCTAGTGTTAGGATGAAAAAATCTTGTGAACTTTCAAGTGTGAGATGCACACCACCAGAAATAGAGTGAAGGTTGATAGTTAAAATAGAAATCCACTTATGTAAATAAATATTATGTTATGATATATTTAACAACCAGTAGTAACAAAGGTATTTCGTCTCTCTTACATACTTATAGCAACAGAACAGCACTCTTTATCGTATGGTACAAGCTTGAATCCGTATATAACTATATATATATATATAGTTATATATGCATATAGGATGTCTTAAAAGTCTATCACATAATTTTATTAATCCTTCGATGGAGTTGCGATTAAAACGTGATATCCCGGAAAGTCGGTAGTTGACGAGTTTAACGTTCGTCAGCAGTTTTCTGCCACCGATTGCAGAATCATAAACGAAATGTCTTCTTTTTTTTCCTTTCGTATTATCGACAGAATACAAAGAAAAAAGAAAAACGGGTGTGACTCTCGTGAACGTAACAGGATCGCGATTGATATGGGTATTGGAGTTCGAATTGCCAAAAGAATGCACTAGACTCTTACGACTCCCTCGTACAAATACACGTATTCTCCAAGGAATTCACTCCGTTCCGTTCCACTCCGTTCTTAATAACGTAACAGTGATATATGCATCTAGAAAAAGAGAAATCAGTTCCTCCCCGAACCGAGCCAACTGACTCAACTCATCTCAAGACTCGGTTAATGACTTCATTACGCTCCTAAATAGAAATATCCTCTTATTAAAGAAATATGTTTTTTTGTTTCGCCTAGTATAGTCTTATATTAAATATATAATTCTTTTATATCTGTTCACTTTTCTCATTTAAATATTTCTTTAGGTTTTTTTTTTCTTCAGGTTTTCCTACCCCGCTTTCATGTTTTTCGTACATGATTAAACTATTACGCCCGAATACATCACACGATTCAGTTTCACGCCCTCGACAAAGGTAAGCGCGGTTTTTCACTTTTGGTCTTTGCAGAGCAATATCTTTTTTTTCTTCTTCTTTATTCTAATCGTTTCGGTCGTCTTTGGTAGAAGCACGCGTCACTTCGTGGAACGCTTATCCTCGTGTTCGTTCCTTCTATATTCTTATTTTTTCATTTTTGCATTTTTAGAGAATTTCTCTCGGTCGCGTGTCCCTGTTCCCTGAGTCGGTGTACAACCATTTCAGTCTTCGCCATTTACCGTTCGAAAACGTCGCGCTTTCTTACAATCTATGCTCCTCATCCCGGCTCTCTATCGTCATCGTAAAGGCAAATTCGATACGCAGCGACTCGCGGACGCGTGTTTCGTACACGCGTTGAAATATTCGCAAAGAGAGAGATAGAGATAGAAAGAGAGAAAAAAATTGCCACTTTTTAAGAGTAGGTAACCCTCGACCGAAACGATGGGCTTACAATGATTAATGCAACAAAAATAAACAACAAGAAGAATCGTGTTCCCATCGATTGGAATATAAATCCGCGAGCCGCCGTAGAATCAACAGTTCAACGAAATACAAAACGTAACGCGTTACCATTAAACCCGTCAAAGAAGCAACGTTCTTTTTCAACGATCGCTGATTCCGACTCCTCGCCGCGGCCAATAATCGACACTGGAATCGTTTACGTGAATCCTCTGCAAGAGACCAGATCTGCAGATCTCGAGCTGGTTCCCACGGGACAGCAATTTTCGACTAGAGTGGCGTGTTCCTCGAGTTGATTTTTCTTTTCTTTCGCGGGGCCACGAGGAGTCGAAACGCCGCATTAAAATACACTTCTACGAAAATAAATCTCGTCAAGATCCAGTTCTACTCAACGTTTCCGAACCACTTTCTCGTGCGGGGGATATCTTGCAACACGTCAATGGACACCGTCATTATCAATAAATACCGACAGTGTTAACACGTTTAAAGAGCCCAATAGGACGTACCGTGAATATCATTGAAGTAGTACGTTAACGATCAGAACTACCCCAACCGCGCAAGGTCCGCTTGAAACGGTGCAACTATATCACTTTCTTCACGTTCTTCGACAACAATTCGATGCTTCGTCTGTTAAGTCGCCTCTGTGCACTCTCGTTCGATCGGAAGTCTGATCGAAACAGACTGAATTTGCCGTTCAAGGTCGCTTTCGTAAGGGATTTCCTCTTTTTCTTTTTTTTTATTTAACTACAGTCGGATATGATTTAACGCAGTTGGATAAAGCTGGACGTTTGTTCCATACAATTGGCTAGAGTGAATTCAGTTCGAGGGAGAATTAGGTACAGTTGCCATGGAAGATTAGGCACAATTGGATCCAACTTGGTGCAACTACTGGACGTAGAGGTGAAACTCCCACGGTTCTCGATTAATTGTCGATCGACGATGCCCCGGCTTTACAAGAATCTTGCCACGTTCTGTAAATCAGACGTGGGCGGCACAAAAAAGTATACCGGAATTTCGAAAGACGTACAACGGTTGAGAAGAATCCAGGCATCGCCACCGGAAATGCCCGCCTTCTCGCGAGGATTAATCAAACTAAATTTAGGGATGTTCCCAGCTCCATTGAACGACCAATTCCGTTCGTTCCGATCCTACGAAACACACTCGTACCGAAAGGAATTGCAAGAAATACGTATAATACTCGATGTCCTCTTCGACCCTAACTTCTAACGTCTTACAATGTACACATGTATGTTTTCCTCATGTGTCGTTCGTGTACAATTATATATACATATATGTATACATATATATCTACGTGTGTGTGTATATATATACATATATATATATTTATATGTAATATTTTTATAAAGGTTCAGGACTAAAAATCAATGTATAAGAATAGCATTGTCAATATACGCTCGTGAACAGAACCGTTTCGAGTAGTCTCTGAAGTCGACGAATACACCATGTGTGTACTCGTCCCCTTTCTCTATAAGTTTTAGTCTTTCCTATAAGGTCTCCTCGCCGTTCACGATTTTCGTTCGAAGGGTTGGCGTATTCGAAATTGTCTTTTCATCCGCTCGCCGTCGACGGCGAGCTTCCGGAGGCACATTTTCAGCTATTTCGGGCAGTTTCGCGAAAGACTTTTCCAAGTTTCGCTCGGGAGAGGATGTCGCGCGCGCGTTCCGCTTTGTTCTCCGTGGCTTCCACTTCCGTTTCTGTCTTCTTTTCTTCTCTATCTTTATCACGTAACGACAGGGGGGAGGGCAAGAAGGGGGGGGGGGTATACGGCGATTCGGACGTTCGGAACCACGCCCCGGGGAAACGATGAATCGCTTCAACGTTTACGGTTCATCACAGACAACAATGTGAGAAAAAGGAATCAACAGCGAGAAGGAGGCTCTAGTGCGTTAAACGTCGGATAACGAATTCATTGATGTTCCCCCGTAATAACAACTCGTTTTTAGGAGAATATAGTATTATATACACGTACGCCTAGTATCGACGCGGATGAGCTGACTGGACGATAGTAATCATCAAGAACGATATCTTTCTAATCGGAGAATTATGTTGGGTAAATCTTTGGCATAATTTGGACTCTGTTTGAAATATATTCGACCAGTGAATACTGAAGTTACAAGGTTCAGTATAAATTCTGTTCCCCAAGTCCATTTACTTTAAGTGAAACAAATCGCATTTTTGGACGTTGATTAACATTGTGTTCTATTTTTGAGCAACTAGAATTGAACGCTATTCACTTCGATCATCAACGACATAGTCGAACTACAAAAGTGAAAAGGCGGTTTTCATTGCACGTAGTTTGTCCCGTTCGAGGGGATAAATGAAGTTTGTTAGATATAACCAACACGTGTCTCACGTACGCCGTGATAACAATATCACGCGTAAAACAGAAAATATATTTCAGAAGGTCTGGGTTAGGGTGTTGTTTTGATTTCTACTTTGAATACTATTTTCCGCAGCTCCGCTCAACATACGTTGCCCTAAGCATGGCATAAAATTAAACGTATCTACAATAATTTAAAGATTGCGATAAGGAACACTGTCGTGCAGAGAGCCCATCGCAAATCGAGTACGAGTTCGTCGTCAATATTGTGTTCTTTCTACGAATGGTTAAAAAATTGCTTTCTAAATATAATTCTCAAAATTATAAAAACATAGTAGATTTGTACGATAGATAGTATTAAGAAAGAAGTAATACAAGACTGTAAGGAAAAGTATACAGTCAGTTGTCAGATGCTCGTTACGCGTCGTAAAGATTATTTCGTATAAAAGTTATCCCAATTCATGAGAATTTTTAAAGTACAAATTTGGCAATATATCTATTCAAAACCTGTGGTCATCCTTCTTTTACATTATGTACCAAGGTGCAATAGTATGTACCCTAAGTAATCCATATACCCATTAGTATGGGAATATCGATCGTCCAAACGGAAGCGTGTTTTCGTAACGGAACACCGGACGAACGCGCACGAAATGCTAAAATGGTCTCCCTGGGCCAAGTTCCGGACATAGGAATGACGCAATGGTTCGCTCGCGCGTGAGCTTCGAAGGCAGCAACGTTACAACAGCATCATCACGTGACAAATGCATATAGGAGACACGAGGTGCGAGACTGCCGAACCGATTCGAAATGGGGAACACGATCTACTCCACTATGATAGTAGCGAGTCGTTTGGGCCGTTTGCCGGCCTTCTGTTTCCGATGGACGTCCCTTGAGTCTGTCTGCGATCCCTCAGACTCGGACTGGCCATCCGCACTGTTCACAGTCTGTTCTTCCAACTTTCTCTTCCTAGACCTCGTCACCGGACCGATCCTGCTCTTATAAACCTCACTGTCCCCGTCGTGTCTTTTGTGCCGTTTCGGCTTGGACTCGTCGTCGTCGCCGTCGCGTTTGCGCCGTTTCTTGGGCGCCTCCTGTTGCATGATCCTCGGCGAGTTCGAGTCGGAGGACGACGACAAGGAGCTCAGATATTCATTCACCTTGTCCTCGCCGAAGTCGAATGCGCTGGGTTGCGCCGGCGAGGCGGAAGCGGCGAGATTCGTCGCGGCGCTGGGAGGTCGTATCAGTTGTACAGAGGGGCTTGAGGATGTGGTGGACGGGGAGGAGTATACGGAAATGGATGTAGTGGACGCGGAGGAGGACACGGAACTGGATGTGGAGCGTTTGTGCAGCTTCCTCCTCTGGGCCAGTCGCGCCCCGTCTACCTCTCGCAACCGGAAGCCATCCGGCTTCTCCAGGAAACAGGCATTCGTGCTGATGTCGAGTGTGATCATGTCGACGGAAGTACTGGACGACTCGGCTAGCCACGGATGATTCGCCAAGCCGCTCGCGGTCAGTCTTTTGTTTGGATCGACGGTCAACAAACCCTTGGCGACTTGTTTCGCCAGGCTGGAGACATGATTCCACGAGTCGCCGTCGAAGTCAATCTCCCCTGCTCTGATCCTGGTAACCAGATCCGGCGAGCCTGTCCTAAACAGTGGCTTCCCGGATAACATCGAGTACAAAATGGCGCCCAAACTCCATAGGTCGCAGCTTTGATCGTAACCCTGTCTGGCCACTACTTCGGGGGCTGCGTAGGGGAGCGTGAAACAGGGTGTGTGCAAAGGCTCGCAGCCACGTTTTATCCTGGCGAAACCGAAGTCCACGATCTTCACCGGTGAGTCCGCCCCGCTGTGGACAAACACAATGTTCTCGGGTTTCAGGTCTCTGTGTACAACGCCCCGGGAGTGCATGAACCGCACGGCGGACGCCAGCTGTCGCATTATTCTGTTCGCCTGTTGCTCCGTGAACGGCCTCGGCCTCCGTAGCAATTCGCCACCGGACAACAATTCCATTACTAAATACGTGTGCGCTCTGTCCTGATGGACTTCGATCAGCTTGACCACGTTCGAGTGTCCCTGACAGGTTCGCAACAAACTAGCCTCCCTTCCGCAGTCGATTCTGCGACTGACAATCTTCACGGCAAACTCCTGCAACGTTTTCCGGTGTCTGCACTTCCGACAAACGGAGAAACTACCGTCACCCAGCGCCTCCTCGCGTGGATCGAGTTCGTAGGTTTGGAAGAAGGTCGATTCCTCGAACCGGACTGCGAGGACATCCGAGGCGGACGGTCTCTGGGACTCGGTGCTGGCTTTCGTGGCCTCTTTGAATATGTCTTTACTGACCACGTTCTCCCCGAACAGTATCGAGGGCGCCACGTATGAGTATCCCCGGAAGATTTTATCGTAATTGGGTGGAACGACAGCCGGACTATCGGCAGCGATCATTTTAGTGAACTCGTCGGAGAAATTGCTGGTGTCTAGTTCGTGGGTGATGCGGGGAACAAACGGTGGAGTGATTTGTCGTCTCTCCAGAGAACCCCAGCTAAATGGAGACGGTGCCCTCTTAAAGAACGGATGTTCTTTGAGTTCTCTGGCGTCCTCCGGCCCGCCGCCGAGCCTCTGCCGAGGATCTTTTACTAGAAGGCGGAGTATAAAGTCCCGAACCGTCGAACTTAGGTGACTGGGTATCGGTGGGTCGGTCTTCAAGATTCTTCGGGAGATGTCCTGCTGCGTGTTCTTCTCTCCTTCGACCGTAAAAGGCGACGCACCGGTCAACAATTCGTACGTAAGCACGCCCACACTCCACCAGTCGACCGCCTGAAAAATTGTACGCGTGTATCGGGTGAAACCGCTCTCGAAGGAATTCCTATCGGTTTCCATTTCTTGGAACTTACGAGGGGACATTAGCAACGATCAGAGGCCTGACTACCGCGTGTAATATACAGACGAGTTCGGAATATTATGCGATCCGGCTTCAAAACGGAAATGCTAGTTTCAATCCTTAGATACATACACAACAGGGTGGATCAGAATTCCTAGTTCTATCATTTGTTCCCGAAATCATTTCTAGACCGAGAGAATATTTCTATTCTTCTCGTTAACGCGAGTACACGAAACTTTGTACCGCGGTTCTACCAAGGAAACAAGACGGGAGATTAAAAAAGAAGAAACAAAAATGTCTGCGCCGTGTTTCCGTGCATTTTCGGTTCACGAAATCGCGGTTAAGCCGATTATCGGAATAAACAACACCCCGATAAACATCGTGTTTGACAGTGACGAGGACCCGAGGCGCGATAACGAAGTTCCAAGAATGGCCAGGGAACAGGGGATCGTGACGTAAATTCATCCTGACTCACAATATCGTGGCCCGCGGAGCCCCCTCGTACCACTTCCGGTGCCATGTACTCGATAGTTCCGCAAAACGAGTAGGCACGAGCGTTGCTGTCCCTTTCGTGCGGCAGAAACTCTTTGCTCAGCCCGAAATCGGTAAGCACCACGTGGCCCTCGCGATCCAACAGAATGTTTTCCAGCTTGATGTCCCGATAAATGATCCCCAGCTGAAACAGAAACGCGCGTCGTTTTCAATCTTGACACACACGACGGAAAACAAGCGGTTTCAACCGCGACCTTCGGATTCTAGAGGATGTACAAAAAGTACGGTAAACCGATCGGAACAACAACATTGGAGATCACTGGTCTGTTTACTCGAGACGGGAGAACTACGGGAATCTTTGACCTTGGAGATATATAGGATGTCTGGAAAAATAGATTCAACTAAACGTTTTCTCGTTCAACGGAGATGCATTAATAAAAATGACGTTCAAGGTGAAACGGAAGGTCAGTATACTACACACGATTATATTTGCATTCCAGTTGAATAGATTGCGATAACAATAAAAAGCATATGACAGATAACAATGATAATTTTGGAAATCTTAATTTCGCATTCGCAACAGAGAGCGCGAATTCATTTTCAGTGATCTCAGTTATTGGACGTACAATATAGTAGCGCAAGGGTCATCAAACTGCGCACCGCTCGAAACAATCAGGGTAACAGTGGGTACTTGTGTATAACGTTAAAAGAACAAAGAATCAACATTTTAGCCATTACTGAGACACGTCATCTATGGTCAGAGATGGCGTCAACTGCTACTTGTTATTCACGAATGTTTCGATCACTTTCATGCCCAATCAGGGTGATTTTTTCACAGTGTTTTTGTCGTGGTCGTTTCTGATTGGTGAAGAACATAACAACAGTTCTTTGCACGCGTTTCATAACCTCTACATTTTATTTTAACGACGACACAATTCGCTGTGATCAATCACTGTTAGTAATTTTGCACACCATCTCTACCTATGATCCCCCTGATCGTGAGCAGTGCGTGTCCCACGACACAAAGTTCGCGTGTAGCACGAACCAAGACAGAAAGAGAGAGAGAGAGAGAGAGAGAGAGAGAGAGAAAGAAAAAATTTTGAGATTTACTTTGTGCAGATGCTCTAGCGCCAAAATAACTTCACCGATATAAATCCGCACTTCGTCCTCGGTGAAGTGTTCCCGTTGATATAAATGCGTAAACAACTCCCCGCCGCTGACATAATCTGGAAGTTAAGCAGAGGTTCTCGTTGTTTAACCTTTTCTTCGGCGTATACGACGGATACCACTTCGGAAACACGACACGCCCGTCGTCTCTCAATAGAGACGGTTATTTGCGCAGTCGTCTCGCGAATCCTTAAAATAGCTGTTCGGATACTCGAGCCTCAAACGAGGAAATTAATAATAGTAATAATAAAAAAGAAAAAGAAACAAAGATACTCCAAAAAGATATCGGATACGACGAGCTTATTTTGTTATATCGTGAACACACGGCGAAGAAACGTCTTTCGCACTAGGAACTACCAAACCCGTCAAAATGGCGGAATTCAGATTTGTTATTTTACAATTACTAAATTCATAAGAATGCTTTCGTCGATATTCATGACTACCTTTAATTTATTCTATATTTTATATTACACCAGCCAGATGGCATATGACACCTTACAGATAGCTTAAATGCGCCTCAAACCTAAAACAGCCGTAAAATGGGCGTCTTCAAGGCGTCATATGCTATTTGGGGTACATTATTGCTATACTGTATTACATAGTATATATATTAATATATTATGAAGTTTAATTTATTATACATTCAATGCTGGTAGTTCTAGTGTTAACCGCGGCCAATCAAAAGAGGTGAATCCGATGACTTTGTGTATCACGTCGCCAGGATTCTTCGATTGGCTTCGACTTAATCTCGAAGCTGGATAAATAATGAATTTCCAGTTTCGAAACGAATGTTTTTTTTCATTTCAGCGAACAGGTGATAAGAATTTAAATCTGCATAAGTATTCACGGTCTACCGATGTGTTTATTTATTTTTTCTTTTCTTTGATATTTCGATAAAATGGTAACACTGAAACGCGACTGTAACGAACGACCGGGTCGGGATCTATAAGCGAGTTTCTTGAAAGCGTTTTACCTAATATCAGGTGGAGCTTCGCGTCCGTCTGAAAGGCGTAATGCAACGTAACTAAAAAAGGACTGTCTCGAACGGCCTCCAGAACTTGTCGCTCCGTCTTCGTATGCTCCGTCGTCTTCTTCTTTTGCACGATGGACGCTTTCTTCAGGACTTTCATGGCATAAAGACGACCAGCGTCGGTGCCAGTCCTCTTTCGCACCAGGAACACCTTTCCGTAAGCTGCACAAAAGCAATTCCTGTTTCTTGTTCCGTTTCTCGGCTCGCTTGGATACCGCGCGTCGCGCTCAAATAACGGATAAAAAACCGAAACGAAAGAAATATCCCGGGGGTGTATGGTATTTCGTCGGAATCTTTCGAATGGTATTCGCGCTACTCGAGAATATTCTACAGGATCTACATGAAAATGTAAATACTACTGAACAGAGACCGGAAATAACAATTATTTTAAATATTTAAAAAAAAAAAAAATTAATAAATCTCGTAAAAATTTTTCATAAAGTGACGTGAATAAAAAATATGGATTTTTAACTGTTCTGGTTACGAATAACCATTACCTATATCTAATCAAAATTGTTTTTTTTGTGGTTACGAATAACCATTATCAATGACAGAAACTATTTTTGGTTGCACGTAACCATTATCGATGACGAGATTTTTATTTTGGTTACCGATAACAATTATTTGGAAGTGATCGTTGATGGAATCGAAGAAAATGTTATTCGAACGCAACGCTCAGGATAATTCAAGACAAAACTGTTTCGTTTTACGCTCGGCGATTTCTCCAGAATGGACTTCGTTCACCTACCTCCGGTTCCGAGGACCTTCAGCAAGTCGAAGTGCGTCATGTCTACCCTCTGGCCTCCACTGTCAGCCAGGTTCACTGTAACCAAGCAAAACCACTTTGTTATTTATTCCGTGTTTACCGTTTATACGTTGTGAACACGAACGCAAAATACAGAAAATGATTTAAAAACAAGAAATTACACTCTAAGATCGTCATCCTATCGACTAACATACACTCGATCGAACGTAAATTTGTTTGCGTGATTTCGACTTCCCATTGGGTCATTCCACGCGATATCGGACACTTTTTAGTGACATTTCGGAATTTGTTCAAATTTGGATATGTTGTGTAGTCTTTAGTGATAGATAATCGTATCTCCAAGGATTTTGGAACATTTTTTAAATTGTTGATTTTACAGCTACTTGAAATATAGTGTCAACCTTCTTTCAATAAATCGTAACTGTTGCACTAAGAAACTGATCCAAATGAGCTTTGTGGGTGCTTACAGCGGATACATAAAAGTTACAGAAAAATATATTTTAACCATTTGTTTTGCAATTGCTTTAAACAAATGCAATGTCATAATAGCAGGGCACGATTAAAAATTTTGAAAGAGAATAAAGATACAGTTCTATTTGTCCTCTTTATGGACCAGTTTTAAGAAATATGGACACTTCAAAATTATTTTTATATATTAAGTAACTCTTATGTCTTCTCTGCAAGCACCTACAAAGCTTATTTTGACCAGTTTGTCAGTTCAACAGATTTAGTGAAAAGAATGTTAATACTACATTTCAAACAGTTGTCAAGTCAACGGTCCTAAAACTTTTCAAAAATTCTTCGAGATACGTTTATACATCACTGAAGACTACGACATATCGAAGTTTCAAAAAAATCCGAAATATTACTCCAAAAACTGTCCGCTTTCGCGTGGAATGAACTCTACCTATTACGTTTTCCCAATAAAGAATATACACGCAGATTTCTGCCACTAAACATCAAAGATTTCTTTTGGTTCACGTTACAAAGAACAGAAGCTAATTGAACAGTTCGAGAGGCTTCATGCATTGTTTCAGGTGACAATATCTGCTTAAAACGGTCAGTATAGCAGGAACAATTCCAGCACCAGAAGGGAGCAAAGTTCCGAGAGAAAGACTCTGTTTGGGAACCCGGGTGCCATTCTATCGGGCACATTATTAACCGATAAACGGGGAATGGTCATTTAATTGACACGATAAGTCTATTTCTGGTACCCTCGCGGAAAAACCGAGCGAGCGAGAGAGACTTTCATCGGGACACTCTCGTTTATCGAAATACTGTTAACTGGACTTTCTATTTGAATGCCTTCAACCGGACTTTCGATCTCTCTTGTGAGACAAAAAAACCATGATTGCTTCCGCAATCGGTGCCGGACGGGCGGTAAATGAACTAAACAATAACGATTCTATGACTAAACACGCGAGCTAATCAAGGTGAAATTCCAGAGTCCACCTTTACTCGAACAGGCTACATAGAAAACAGGCAACACGAGAAATTGACAAATTCTTCCTCACAAGGGAAGAATCCAATTTATCCGACTTCAATTTTAACCCTTTCGTTTCCACTGTTACCATATGGCCAGGTATTTTGAATATGTTTGTGAATATATAATAGTTTGTTCCAGTGTTGTATAGATGGTACATGGCGCAGATTTGAATGTGCATTTAAAAGATTATCGATAAAATAAGACATTAGTTTTGTCCGTTGTCTCTCTTCGTTCAATGGAATTCAGGTGTTGAATATTGTTACAATAGAAACTTACAAAACTCTAATTTTTGTTCACATATTTCAAGAGAGTTTATCGATCAAAGGTAAGAAAAATTGGGTTTTATTATGTGTAATAACATTGTAAGAGAATTTTTTCAATTCTAGGGGAGGAGGGGAGGCATTTAATTACGATTGAAAGCCATCAGAAACGGGCCCTCCTGGTCGGGAATTGTACACAAGACGGTTGGTCTTTATCGCGTTGGTCTCTTGGTCGCTGCGATTTTAAATACACAGCTGCGGGGCCGCAGTGCATATTTATGCGCTCGAGGGGTACCTCATTCGTGCCCCAACACCTGCTGACATTAGCGGGCGCACCACGCAGGTGCATCGAGGTTTGCGCACGGTACACCTCGAATAACAGGCATTCCACGCGATATTTCGCGATCCTGGTAAATGTGTACATGACAAATCACCACCTTTCGACAGACCTTCCCCTCCATGGCAGATTGTGTGTTCGAATATACCGATACATACATCGGTCGTTTCTGCCCGAAAGCGGTATCATCGTATCGAATCGAATGTCTTCGAGGAATCGTGAATCGAATGTATTCAGTCGTTTCGTTTGACTTCTTTGCCCTACACAACGCTTCAGTGCTAGACTTGAGTCGGGGCTCGAAAGCCAGAGCACATAACCGCGAAAGAGGCATTCGTTTTGCAATCACGTTTGTCTGACTTTCACTTTATCCGAAATTTTGCTGGAAAGTATTAGACACGATGTTTTCAGGGAGTCACAAGAGGATTTTCATTATTCTAAGCATATGATGACAAAATAATAAGAAATATGATTATATAGTATAGGTTCGATAAGTGTTCGAAGGCTTCCCAGCACTTTTAATGAGGTTTGGCACAATGATAGAGCTTGGAATTCTGAAGCCAATGATATTTGTTTTAATAACTTATGGCCATTTGTTTATGAAATATTTAATGCCCAGTGCCGAGGAGCCTTCAAACACTCATCGAGGATTTACTGTATACGATCATGCCTTCATCTATAGTGCGTTTATCTTGTTGGTGGTAGTAGGTGACCACCGTAGCCCCTTGGTACTCTTCATAACTGTTTTCGAATAATTTTCTTACAAGTATAAGAAAATTACTATCTACGACGTTTCCGCGATATGGTACACTCTTTATGTCGACAAATATATCCTCATTAGTTAGTGAGTCATAAGAATTCGTATTGTAAGGATCGTAAAATTCGTGAGAAAAGGTTGTGCAAGATATTAACCCTTTGCACTCCGATGTCGCCATTGCGGCGAAATTTCGAAGCAACTTTGTATTTTTATACATTTAAAAATTAAAATATTCTTCACTTTTCCATGGGGGCCTCTACTGTTACATTGCATGTAGGTATAATTGTATGTTAAAATTAAATAGTCCTGGAGTAGCTGGTTGCTCATAGTAAAAATAACTCGGAGTTGCTGATAGGTCATATTAAAAATTACTCGGAGTTGCTGATAGGTCATATTAAAAATTGCTCGGAGTGAAAAGGGTTAATAAATAGTGTCTGGTCGAAAAACCTTTTAGTCGGACGAATTCAAGTCGATCGATTCGGTCGGTCGACCAAAAGTTGCCTAGTGTAAACGCTGCTTAAGACATTCGAATCAGCCGAGTCCCTCGGTTTGTAATCTAGATACATAGAGGGGCAGGTAGAGGTGTGTGCGCGCGCTCACGTCTGTGATACTCGAGTTCGTTCGTCGTGGTCGCTTTTACTACCTTGACATGGATTCTCGGCTGGCAGTCAGGGCCGGGGACATGCGAGAAGGACCCCCGGCGTGTTAATTTCACACGCGGAAACCCTTTTAGCCGACGTGGCGCAAAATTCGATCCACCAGGGGGGGGGGGGTTTCTTGTTTTCGACGACACGCTGTTCACCAGTGTGTCGGTCACCGGTGACCGACGCTGTACTTCTGTCGTTTATGCCTCGTCTATCATGGACCGATGCGAGTCTAACGAATAATAATTCGGATAAATCGACTCTGCGAAAAATTAATGAGACTGTGTGGGACTATTCAACGACTGAAAATTCATGAAACTGTAAAATTTCGGAGAATTGAAAGGTACAATTACACTGTTAACAAGGAAAGTTACAAAATCTTTTTTGTCTTCAATAGAGAAGCAAAAATCCTTGACACCTTCCTTAGACAGACCCTTAGTTTTTGAATAAAATTGAAGGATATCAGCAAAAATTGGTGCGTTTTCGGTGTCCTTTTCACTTTGAAAATTATTTAAACATACTTAGACGTCCATGATATAATAACAATTTATATCATTTTGTTTGGAAGGGTTCAGAGAATTATTTCGTATCGAAGTAAACTGAATAACTATTACTGTAAAAACACAACACAGTTCTAGAATTTCAAAAATTAAAATTGAAAAAAAAAAATAGATTTTTTCACAAACTAGACGTGTTGGGAAAAAACGGTTTGCCGATTCGTATTCAGCTCATGAAGATCTATCAGAAACGCCTATTGGATGCTTACAAAAACGACAAAATGTTAAAATTTGTTGAACAGTGTTATTGGCCTATTGTCGGTAACTGAGAGTCAACGTAACATGAACGAGCCACAATCTGTACAATTAGGTGACTGGAAACCGTGTAACTCGATGTGTGACTAGGAAACCTGCACGACCGTAGTCTATTGTCGGGTAGAAACCTGCATGAGGTGAAAATCAATGTGTCTATAAATACGTGAAACTTACAACCAGTTTGGTTGGACACCGATTTTACTGTAAAGCAAGGTAGCTGAAAGTTTTCCTGCGACTTAGAAATCAATGTGGTAGAGACAATCTAGGTGATTAGAAGAGCGCACCAGTGACTGAATATTGCGGTGATTCGGAACTTGTACGATTGAAAATCAATGTATAGAGAAAGTTACGCGATCGAACATCGATACGACTATTATGAAGCTTGTACGGCCGAAAATTGGTGACTGGTTGATCTATCGGATTGGAAAATCGAGAAACGATTACAAAATCGGTCGTAACTCGATCGTGAATACAAAACCTGACGTGTGATGTGTGACACTTTTTTCTTTTTCTGGCGTCAAACCGATCGTACTGGGAACGTTGTTTTAGTCGTCTGCACGCAAACAGCCGGAGCAAACAGCCGCGACTCCGCGAGCAATTGATTTGCTTGGTAACAGCTGCCAATGAATATTCAAACTAAAACACATCCGTACAAATTCGACGTATCGCCTCGTCTGGCATGTTTCGAGCGCTCGGCGTTGGGCAATAAACGATACAGAACGATCTAACCGCCATTGAAAATGTTAAGCAACGCCGTTATTACG